CAAGAGTTATCAATCTCAGAGAGCAAAATGCCCAAAGGCAAGAAGATACTGCATGAACCCTCCGAAGATCAATGGGTTATTTATTCTAACAAGGACATGATGCCTTAGACCAGCTTTGTAATAGGTTCTGATGCCATGTTTTGGTTTCATTACTTGCAAAAAACAAAAACAAAAACGTGTGAGGAAACAAAATTATTTAAACATTACATTGAAGTCTTAAGAAGGGCATCATAATTCTTAGGAAAGTCATAAGCTCTTCTGCAGCTTTATGCATTTTTTTGAGCACACTAAAAATTAAGTGATGCATTTCCCAAAGCAAAGCATTTTCCATCAGAGAAATACTATTTTCTTTTGTCCTCAGCAGTGCTGTCAGTAATCCATTGGGGTCTGCTAGCTGACTGGCATTTTATCTGTGCTACAGAAGGAAAACAACACCAACCTTTACCCTAGTGTACCACCAGAGCCCCATCACACAGGCATCTGCTTGTTTTCCAGCAGCTGGTGGGGAATAGCAAGATACAAAGGCCAGGCATCTTTGCTGGAAGGGGCATACATGAAGAAAGCTGCAGAATAAATGTTCCAGACTCATAGCTTCTGCAAAAGGGTAAGTGTGGAAGTGGTGCAGATCATCTGGAACTTGTGAAGGGAGCAGGGGAACACCAGGACTCTGATGCTTTGCTTACAGAAGCACTTCCTGACCTTGGGCCATCATTGGGTTGCATAACTCTTTTATAAAATAGGAATGAGAACATGCATGCTTGAAAGATGGAAATAGAAGGAGCCCATGGGAAATTTCCCGCTGACTGCAGTGTTGCACAATCAGGTGCTATTCAACTGCATGTAGAGCAGGAACACGAAAATGGCAGAGAGGGGCTGTTAAAAATAAATCCATGACGGCAGGACAGGACAGACTGTTTTCAGCCAGCTTTGCATATTGGTTACATATCCTCTCAGCTACGTTTTCAAAACACACAAAAAAATCTGTTCTGCAACTGGGGCTTTACAACATGTTTGTTAACCAATAATTATTGCACACACTAAATATATCTTAGGGGCTTGACTCTGTTGGTCTTGCCTAGCCACTGCTTCCGAGGAGTTCTGCCCCAGCAGCAAGAGTATTGGAAGGCTTTAACATCTACACACTGATATTTGCAACAACAAAACTTAAACAGTTAAAGAATCAGCTTTATTTAACTATTATCACGCTGTTTCTGAGTGCCCAGTGCAGATACTGTATCTCCATGTCTGTGCCAAAACCAAAATTTTTCATCTCCATTAGCCTAATTAATCAAATGGAGTTAAATTATAATTGGTTAGCATTAAGTGCAGCTGTTAAAAAACCCGTCTGGTTGATTCTGATCTCTCTTACTAGGAAGACAGTTAAGGATAGGTATGAACTCTGCAATTTGTAATATAACTGACATCTAAAGGGGACGATTTCTGTGATTTAATTTAACATTGTGATGCAGTGCCTGAGTTTCTGTTGCAGAGGCTGTGAGCCAGAAGCAAGACGCAGCTGTGGTGAGCTATGAACAGGCACTTCTGGAGAGGCCGACCTTCCAGCATGAGCATAGTAACTACGTTACTACATACATACATACGTACATGACCCTTCCTTTAATGGAAAAGTTTGCCATTCCTAGTTCTGTTTTACAATTTGACTTTTGTTACTAGCTACCTAGCTGTAGGTTGCTTTAAATCCAGCTCATGGTGGTTTTGTTATCTGTAGCAAGTAGCTCCAGCTTCGGCTGTTTTTATGTTGGATTACAGCTATACACATGTTTATAGTCAAGTAACCCTGCTCCCTTCCAGTGTGGACTTGAGTCAACAACTCCATTGGGATAAAAGCAGCATTACACGCAGGCAGTACTTTTCACTTTGGAAAACCAGCTCTTCATTCTAACAGCACAGATGCTTGTTTTCGTGCTCTCCAGGGCTGTTTCCCTGTTTGAATTTAGTTCCTCACAGAGGAATGGTTCAGGCTGCACAGAGGCTGTCCCACCCCACTCTGTGGCCATCTCGCTCTTTCCTGTGAAGACCAGTGAAACAAGAAGGTGTCACACACAGAGCAGTTTGTAAATGCAGGATGGCTCCACAGCACTTAGGTTTGAAGAACTGTATGACCTAAATTTCTTACAGAATTACTTTCTGAAAATATCTTAAACTGCCAACATTGATGCTTTTGGTTCTCCCTACGGCGTCCACCCCAAACTGATAGGCTTTGCTAAAAAAAATCTTGCAACCTGATACAGAGGTTTACCCCCAGGCCTCTCTGTCTCTTTGTGGCCAGTGGTGCCTGCTGGGCTGGATTGAGTTGCAGACACCTGCCTCAGCGGGGGACCAGCCCCACACACCGCACACTGGGACAAGTTCTCTCTCCTCATTCTCCTCACAGTAAAAGCACAGCATTAGGACAACAAACAGCTTCTGTGCAACAGTTACTAACAAAGAAAAAAAAAAAAAAAAGAAATCGGAGTGGCGCAGTATTCCTCATTTCACACCTGAAAATCAGCCCCACAAGTCCTGATTGTCATAGAACAAGCTTTTCCTTTTTTGGGAAACACAGACTGGTGAGGGAGGGATGAGTAAGAAGGGAACAAGGATAGAAAAAAGGAAAAAAGTCCAAAGCACTGTTATAATATTTGATCATTTTCTCTTCAGCAGGCAAACCTCCAGTGTTTCTCAGACTGATATGTAACAGTCAGCCAGAAGGGGAGGAGCAGAGGGAGATGCCACTTGAGCTGGCAGGCCAGCAGCTCTTTAAATAGAAAAGCTTTCAGGGAACTCGGGGCTGGCGCTTGCTGCACAAATCTCATTACAGCCATTTCCACCCAGAACAGCCTCCATCTCATAGCTGCGGTAATCAAAAAGCCCCTGAAGGAATGGGAGGGGGACAAGGGGGAAAAGTGGGACTCAGCAGGCCTAGGCCCAAACGCTCGCCTCCCCAGGCAGCGCTGCAAGGCGAGGCCCCGGGGGAGGCAGTACCTGTGAGTCAGCTCCTCTGCTTCCTCTGGGTCCACGGCTTCTTCCTCCTCCTCTTCTTCCTCCTCTTCTTCTTCCTCCTCTTCTTCATCCTCTATGAAGGAGGAGGTCTCAGATGCCCGATCACACTCTGCACCACAGTATCCCTCCATGTTCTTTCTCGCTCAGGCTCTCGTCGTTGATTTTTACCCCCAACCCTGTCCTCCCCAGGGTTGCCTGAAGCAACTGTCATCCCCAGCAGCTCTCACTTCTCCTGACTCAGGGCAGTCTTTAAATAGACAGCAGCAAAGTTGCAGCACTGTCGCTGCTGGTCCCACCCCAGGTCTTAGCACCAACCGGGTGCCAGGGCACATGGCACAGCCCCATATAGCCTATTCCAGTTCTGTTAGGATTATTGAATTGGAAGCTCTTGATAACATGTGGTTCTCCAATATAAATCTGAGCCTATTAATTAGAAGTCCCGCTAGAAGACTAGAGAGTTCTTCAAAACCTAGTTAAGGCATAACAGGTTCTGACATCATGTAAGATGGAAAGTGACGAGTGAACTCAGTGCCACAAACTAGTACCCAAAACCACCCCTATAATACAAGAGCTGAACTAAAGCATCTTTTAGTTCAAGGAGATGTTAGCATCTTGCATACATTATGAAACCTTGGTCAGCATTGGAAAACAGACCTCCTACTAAAAGCCTCCCAGCAGAAGCATTCCTGACAGGGGGCGTAATGAAGGGTTTTGTTATGAAATTGTGGCAAAACAATTCCAAAACTATTTATATTGTGGAACTTTATTTGAAATTTTCTATCAAAAGTTACAGTTCAACACACACCAAATATCACATTTACTTGATATTGTTCCAGTTGTCTGGCACTTCCACAAAAAGTAGTGCTGCTCTTGTTTGCCTTGACAAAGAATATGACAGCATGACATATGATGAAATTTGTTCCCTGAACATCTCAGAAATCATCTTTTTAATATATGAAAGTAGTGCCACTTTCTGTGCACTATGCCAGATATCCACTTACCCAATTAGCTTCTTTCATTATAAGGTAAACTAAGTCATATGGCATTAATGGTGCTGCTACTACCACTGTAATTTAAGTTCCAGGGGAGTTTTGTGACATGCTTGTCCTGGTATTTGGCAAAACTACCATCTAGTTTTTATAATTTTGGTTATGAATATAGTTTATTAGAAGTAAATGAACTGAAGAAAAACACACTGGATTACTTGTAAAAACATAGGTAATCTCAAGCTTTTGTAAAAACGATTAATAAGATGGGTCAATTTTTATAAAGTTGCATGGCGGTTTCAGGAAAAAACTTGTTTCAACCATAAAGCAGTAATTTAAGGCTTTTTTTTTTTCCTATAAATGTTTTGAATGTAAAACCTTAAGAGATGGTCATTTATAGTTCGATGCCTCACATCCAGCTTACTTAAAATCCATTTTTGCTGAATTTGAACATACTGTCCCTTCTTAATTATACTATTTTGAGAGTTTACATTTTGTAGAAAAAAGAGATGCGCAGAGCTTTTTTAAAAAAATGAGCAGCATCCCCCTTACTCCAATCTACAGACCATCTTTGAATCTAGTGATCACCCTTTTCTAAAAAAATTTAGTAGTTTTACATAAAACATGGCAAAATGAAATACTTCACCCATTACACCACTTGATAAAAATGAGGGATGATGCAGGGAACATCCACATAGAGGGAGAACATTTTAGATGACTGACAAAGTCAGATTAAAACTGAAAGCCTGTTAAAAGGAAACTGTCTCAAGAAGCAAGACAAAATATCAGATAGATCAGATCATGATTAAATATGAGCAGAAAGTAAACTTCCAGCAGGCAAACAGTTTACTGTTTCTAGAACTTCTAAATTGTAAGACTTCAAATAAACTAGAACCTAAGCTTTGTGCAAGAAAAAATAATGCATGCTATTTTGAATTGTAAGGGCGTTCACAGTCTTGTTAGAAGTGGCAACAGATGAAAATTGTACCCATACATAGACACAGAACAAAATACCCGTAGAAAATTTTTATTTGTAACAGGTGCTTTGACCTTTACATTCATTTCCTTTTCTACTTAATTATAGGAACTATATCAAATGTCCAATACAAAAGAACATAAAACATCAGAGAAAGCTGTATTCTCTAGAAACTTTATTCCACAGGACACTATACAAAATATTAAAAAAAAAAAAGGAAAATATACATTTGACATCAATTAGAAGTACAGCTTTGACAATGAATTGGTCTTCAATAACAAACACATGACAGGCACAAACTGTGCTACAGCAGGTCTAAAAAGTTTCATTACTTTATTGTTTGGAAAAGCTTCAATTTTTAAGATTACTTATTTGAAATCAATTTACAGCAGCCTACAAGTTAACAAACATTTACACAAAATCAAAACAAAATCCCAGCTTAGTGTAGCTATTGTAGGGCAGGGGGTATTTTATGCAGGTTTCGCTACTACTTTGAATTTGTAAACGAAACACTAAAAATCATCTTGCCTGCTATGTGAACATGAATCAATTACATAAACTGAATTATCCTTCTTCAGTTCAACTTTCTTTTAGAACTGTTGATTGAAAATTCCATTTTAGATTACAGTTCTTAATATCCAGAACATTACCAACTGTAATCTAGCTTAATTTTCATAAAGTGTTGCCTTTGTTCTATATAAAAGAAAAATAGAACTGGGAAGTGCCAAACTGAGCAAAAGTGCATACTGCATTAAACAGACAGAAAGCACAAGCTGTCTGCTCATCAAGGTGAGTTTGGGTAGAATGCCTTAAGGATACAGACTCATACATTGTTCAGCTCTGATTTCAGTTATTTCATTGTTAAATTGATGATAACACAGATTATGGAAACAAGTCAGTACATTCCCATACTTTGTTTACAACAGATTTATTCCTGTGGTCTGCTGCTTTAGTCACAACATTCTCTTCCAGAAATCAACAATACAAGTGTTCTCAGAAAACACATCTCTGAGTGAACAACTGCATTAATAAACATCAATAATAAAATATGAAGTCTTTCTTACAAATATATCCTTAACAAAAATATAACAAGAAGAACACATCATAAAATAACAAGGGTGTAACCTGGGTTTTGATACTGTTCTTTATTTCAGCAGGATCCAATATGGAGAAAATGAAAGAAGTTTGTTATCTTCTCTGTATGGTGGCTCTCAAAGGTAATACAAAGCTCAAGTCTTTCTTGTCTCGCAATATCTGCCAAGACTGAGGAAAAAAGTAGAAGGGTTAGAAGGACAAATCATATTTTTCATCAATATTTAAATACCCTTTTAAGCAGTAAGCTTCACATACCCACAAAAATAAATTTGATGTTTTTCTCCTCTAAAGGAGACATTTTTATTTATTTATTTACTTAGGGAAAAATAATCAAAAAGTACACAAAATGCAGAGGACTATTGAGAAAGATACATCCTTTCAAGAAGAGAGCAGATTTGTGTTTCTGGAGACTGCGACAGATGTTCACATTATTTAAGTATTACATTGATTCTCTAACTGCAAAATAATTGTCTTTAAAGCACACATACCAAAACTACTGATAAAGGAAGTTATACTCTGTCATTTGCAGAATCTGTGCCTTTAATGTTATTATTAACATTTTCTTCTGTATTCTTGTGGATTCCAAGACACATCTGTCACATCTTTTAGATCATGAACTTGGGAATAATTGCACTGACCCTGCTATCTTAATGCACAGTTCATTTTACCCACAATGTGCAATGAAAGACACAGGAAAAGATATCACTCAATAGCAGTGAGTCATTATTTACATTACTTTATTTTCCTAAAGAAGATTAAGAATATTTTTTTTATTTTGCATATTTATATGTATATTCTATTTTGTAGGTTTACAAACATGAAGTAGACATGTGTGTAATATATGCATCTATACTAAATGTACTTATAAAGTACACTTTATACACACTACATGATATAAGGACAATCATAAACATCAGAATCAGGCAGGTACAATAACTATCATTTGTTTAGCTATCTTGAAAACCAAAGTGACCAGAAAAATAAAATGGATGCTATTTTTACCTTAAAAAATTCCTCTTTGATGGTATCAAACTTCTGTTTTTCATGTACAGCTCTAGCGGTGTTTGTCCTATCAAAGGGCTCTGCAAGATCAAAGGCAAACATTAAAAGTGTTAAAAAAAAAACAAAAACCTACAGCTATTCTATCTCACAGAGCTAGCAATGAGGAGGAAAAAGAAAAAGTCAACATAACATTTCTTCCCAAGAGGTTTTTAAGCAGCTGATTGCAGCTTCTTTCTCAAATTTATGTTTCTGTGTAATATTAATCCAAAATAGTTTCAAACCCTAAGTACTCTAACATGTAAACCACAAACACTATAAAATCATTATTTCTTGCAAAGCACAATATGTTGATTGTGCTGAACTCATGCATCAGTAATTATCTGTGACTGCTTATTAGTCTGTGATATCAGAATAAGATTTTGTACATGGAAATGTTTTGAGACATGTTAGATTCATCTCATGCAATAGTTTCAGTGAAATGCAGAAAGATATTTAAATCGGTTTTTATGATATGTGATTTTTATGAATGGCTGTAAAAATCTATTCTATAATATCTACTCAGAAGCTAACAACAGATTTTAAAGTTTGCAGCTATCAGACTACAAGTTTATCCTATGTCAGATCAGAGCCAGCCTCAGCTGCTCCAACAGGGACTTGCTGCTGCTAGAGCTGAGCTGTGAATCATGCTGCGTGAGCTCTGGAAGATCACAGTTAAGAAAGAAAACCCTGAACAACAGCAGCTGGAAGAGAGGAGTGAGGAAATGGGAGAGAAGCAGCCCTGCAGCCACCACCATCAGCAAAGGAGGAGGGCAGGAGGTGCTCCAGGTGTGGACCAGCAGCTCCCTGCAGCCCAGAGAGGCCCATGGAGGAGCAGGCCATCTACCTGCAGCCCACAGGCACCACATGGAGCAGATCTCCAGTGCAGCCACAGAGGAGCCCACAGTGTAACAGTGTAGCTGAGGCCCAGAGGAGGCACAGCCCACAGATACCCATGCAGGCCGCAGCCCGTGGCGAGCAGCCTGCGGTGGGGCAGGAGGGCTGGGGGCTGCCCGTTGGGGACAGTGCCAGAGCAGCTCCTGAGGGTGGGCCCCGTGGGATGGAGCTGTGCCTGGAGAGCTGCTGCCAGAGGGGAACCCACAAAGGATTGGATAGGCATCCCGTGCGAGGGTCCCACATGGAGGAGGGGCAGAAGGTGGCCATGAAGAAGTGCCATAGATAAAGAGTTATGAACTGACCACAGCCCCTGATGCTGGGGGAGAAGGTAGGAGAAAGTGAATACAGGGAAGGTATCTGTAGTTTCCTTTAAGTTCTCACTGCTCTAGCCTATTATTAATTGGCAATAAATTACAATAATCTTCCCTACACTGCGTCTGTTTGGACCATCATGGTAATTCATGAGTGACTGACTGGTATCCTTATCTCAACTCAAGAATTTTTTTTCATTGTATTTTCCTCCCTTGCTGCATTGAGAAGGGGGAATGAGAAAGCAGCTGTCTGCTGTCTGGCTACTTAACTTGTATTAAACCACAACAATTGGTTGTGGATTGCTTTTATTCAAATAGGGACATAAGGTAAAATAAAGCACTACATAGACATCAGAAAGGATTACAATATTGCGTGGACTGGGACTTGAAATTTGGAATATATTCTGGGGCACTGGAGTTTTATTACTGAAACCTATTTAAATCAAATAAATAATTTCAAGCAGTAAATGTTGCATTTGGGAAGTTTCTGTAGGAAGTTTCTTTTCTTCAGACTAGCTATATGAAGTTTTTAATGTATGTTTACAGGGCAGATTTATTTTTCTTTAGAATGCATCAAACAATTCTGATTGAAACAGAAAGCTGTCAATTAAATTAGTGAATTACCTAGTCCTCTAGTACCAAAAGATGTCATTGGTTAGACTGATCTACTGCTACAAAAAATTCCACATCCCTTAGCATATGAAACAGTACAGTACTACTTGTTTGTCTTACATATGATGATAGCTGTTCCTTTAATGCTAGGATCTTTTATGTATTTATTTTGAGCCGAGTCAGATTTTTGTGAATTAACAAGACCACAGCTGTACAATATTCCTTAAGTCACAGGGGGAAAAGGCACTCTTCCTAGACACAGAAAACTGACTCACATCTTCCCTTTATTCTTGCATATTTACTAGATGTCACAGACAAATTCACTCCCTGAAGCACAATACAAATACTTCTGCAATCAGCAACTATTTACACCACTTTGCATTTTCTAACCATCTGTACAGTAAGACTCCATCATAAGTTTACTTTGTTCACACACTGACAATATTAAAAGAAAAAAAATGTAATACAACTTGAACCAATTTTGAGGGAAAGGCTAAAAAGGCATCGTTCTTTCAAATGAAAATATAAATAATCATAAAATTCCAAAACTGCTATAGAACAAGCCTGGAAGAATTATTTCTATTATTATTTTTAATGCGTGTTACGAGAACAAAAGATACAGCGTAGAAAGCTTTCGATCCTTTTTCCCTAAGTGACTGCTAATTGAGTGTCTCATAAAATTACCAGGCTTTGAGCATTTCCAATCTTTTTTTTTTTTTTTTTTAAAAAAGAGAACATATTATATTGTTTGATATAGACAGGATTTAATCTCAAAACAGAATAATCACCATCAATTTACAGATTCTGATAAGCAATATGCACCAGTAACAGCAGTGTTCTCTCTATCCCTATAGTGGTAATTGCCTGCCAAATTTTAAACTGTCTGAAAAGAGCACCTCAGCTATTTTGTTTCTCAAAAAGCAGATACAAAGTGAGAATCAGTCTCAAGACAGATAAAAATTAAAGCACAATTTTTATCTTTGAGCAAGCCTAAATATATTGCTACACGGAGATTTATAGCAACTTGCATACATAGAGTTCTGTGATCTATCAATAAATACATTTGAAATATTAAAAAAATACACAATGCCAATCAATAAAATGTTAGTCCTGACAAACTTGGAAACCATAATATTTTGACACATTATCTAGCTTTCAAAAGTTTCTCCTTAAATTATAAAGAAGTTTATCCAAATAGTGTCCGTTAAACTAGTTCAGCTCAACAGCTGCTGAAAGTGTGAGGCCTACTTTGAGTAAAAATAAGAAATGCATTTTTTTTCCTTCCAATTTATAAATAAAAACTCAGAATACAATGATTAATCACACTTCTAATGGAAGCACGCCATAACGGGAAGGAATAGGAAATACCAACGACAGATCATTTTGCTGTTTTAGTAGTTCAAATGCAAAATGTAGTCTTTAAAAAGTTATATGCAATCAAGAATGTTTAATACATGTTCTAAAATGGCTGTTTTGTATGCTAATATTCAATTTTCCAACTTTGCAGAAAATGAATGTTATTATTCCACCACACTGAAATGCCATGAAAAAGTTGAAAGCCTGAAACATACAGGCAGCTGCCTTGTAACACTGAGCATCAGCATCATGTGACAGCAGAAGGCACAGCTGCTGAGCATTTCCACCTCCCACATTCAGAACACAGCCTCGGCAATTTCTGCACAACACTATTCCAGATCACTTCAGCTGCACAGATACTCTTGAATTCTCACATTTCTTAACTCTGAGATAGCGAAGTCAAATGTTAAGCCTTCTTCATCGGTTTCAGTGTATTTTACTCTATGACTGTTGGTTTTGTTTTTTTGTTTTCCTTTCATGACTTCTTTTTTCTTTCTTTTTTTTCTTTTTCATTTTTTTTCCCAAATATCCACATAAGGGACAGGAATTTCATCACGTGGCTTGACACAGCAATTCATATGATTTACAGCCAAGTTAGTGAGCTCCAACCGCATAACTGATTTCACCTGTAAGTAATCTCTGCACAGAGTACCACAATCACATAAAATTACGTGCACGATGTACGTCCACCCTGCCACAAATCTTGAGGAATGTCTGCATCTAAATCACAGGCCTTCTGCCTTACTGTGCCTATCCCCTCCACTGCAGTCTCTCAACATCTCTGGCCATACTGTTTGGCTCCTATCCAAGCTCCAGTTGTCTTTTTTCCAAAAACTTCAATCTTTGAAGTCCTAATCCCAATAGTCTCCCATTTATTTAAAGCTAGGACCCAAGCCATCTTTCACATTTCAAACCTTTGCTTCTTACCTCTATGTCCTAAACCAGATACTTCTAATTCTACTTCTTCTGCACCCTCATTGCTTTTCAGTCTCCTCTTCAGCAAATTTGCCTTCACCTGCTGCACTCTGACTCTCACTTTTCTTTTTTCATTCATATTCACTGTACTAACGCTTTCCAGTCTACATGATAGCTCCCAGTCCCCTCCCTACTTTTATTTTCATACTCTGCTCTAACATCACAATCCTGCTCTATTATTTTCACTTTTCCTGGTCCGGGCTTCACCTTCTCCATATAGACTACTGGTGACAGTTGAAAGGCAACAAAAGAACAAGAAATAGGTTCTTGCATTGTGCAAATTCCCAGCTTGAACTACAGGTGCTAAGACCAGTGACTCCAAAACATAGCCTGGGTTTCACCTCTAGTTCTGGAGGGTATCATACATTCTCCGTGGAAACTGCACATGCAAAAGTCCATCAAAAATAGTAGCTGCAAGTGGACCATAGTATGCATAATTTACTTACTGCTAAGACATGAAATGCCGAAGTGTTACTAGAACAAATAATTACAGAATCACAGAATGGCCAGGGTTGCAAGGGACCCCAAGGATCATGAATCTCCAACTCCCCTGACACAGGCAGGGCCACCAACTTCCTCATTTAATGCTAGACCAGGCTGCCCAGGGCCCCATCCAATCTGGCCTTGAACTCTTCCAGGGATGGGGCATCCACAACCTCTCTGGGCAGCCTGTTCCAGTACCTCACCACTCTCTCTGTAAAGAATTTCCCCCTGACATCCAACCTAAATCTCCCCTCCCTCAACTTAAAACCATTTCCCCTCGTCCAGCAGTTATCTACCCTTTCAAAGAGTTGACTTCCCTCCCCTCTGTAGGCTCCCTTTAGGTACTGAAAGGCTGCAATGAGGTCACCCCGCAGCCTTCTTTTCTCTGGGCTGAACAAGCCCAGCTCCCTCAGCCTCTTCTCATAAGGGAGGTGCTCCAGTCCCCTGATCATCTTCGTGGCCCTCCTCTGGACCCTCTCCAACAGCTCCCTGTCTTTTTTGTACTGGGGGCTCCACACTTGGATGCAGTATTCCAGATGGGGCCTCACAAGAGCAAAATAGAGGGGAACAATCACCTCCCTGTCCCTGCTGGCCACCCCTCTTTTGATGGAGCCCAGGATACCATTTGCCTTCCAAGCTGCAAGGGAACACTGCTGGCTCATATTAAGCTTTTCATCTATCAAGACCCCCAGGTCCTTCTTACAGAGGAATCTGAATATGGTCCACACTGTTTTTTCAGAAGATCAGTCTTGGCAAAACTGAAGACTATTTTTGCAGAGCAGCCAAGCATACTACTGTCCATAAAGGCCATTCCTTGTCAAAGCCTTAATCACTGTGCCAAAAGTAACAGGGCAATGAGTCTTCTTGAAGAAAAGGTCAGGGGAACTATTTTTAAACACTACAGAACTTAAAGCTTCCTTCTCAAATGTTTTCAGTGAGACTGTTTCCAAAACTATTTACACTGATTAAACTTCATTTACTGCATACGTATATTTTACATGCACATTATTAAATTTTATGGTGCTAATATTTAAATGATTGATTTAGTGTCTTAGTAGTTAAAAATGATAATGTAGCTTTAAATTTTACCTTCTACACATATATATTTGTTTCTCCATTCAACATCATCAGGTCTTGGAATAGCTTTGGCCTCACGAACTGAAATCATTTGATGGCTCCAACTAAGGAAAAGGAAAAAAAAATTGTAGACCTTTAAACTTTTAATTCTGAATGAATAATGTCTGTTTACATTAATAAACTGTCATACTGCTCTGTCACAAGCCTGTATATTATAGTACTTTATAGTAATGAGAAAGTTAGTGTGAAGTACTATATAAAAGTAAGGAATGCTTTGTAGGAAACAAGAAAACTCCACAAGCACTTTAGTATATTTATGAAAACATATGCAAAACAGAACATCATAGATTTCCATGTCATCTTGAATATGGAGTCCTACATTTATTTCTAAATTCAAAATAAATTACAGACTCATAAATTTTTCAGATATTCCTTTGGGAAAAAGAGTTTAAGAGCAGAGGAAGACAAAGCATTTCATTAATGTGCATTCAGTGATCAAGAGAGAAAAAGAAAGCATGCTTACAATGAGCTTTCCCAGTACAAGAAGCTTATACAAAATATTAGTGCTTTCTAACATGTGGTAATTTAGATATTCTTTAACTGTACAAAATCTAGAACAACTCAAAGCAGCCTTTGAATGTAAGCTACTGCATGCTGCAGTTTTACAACAATGGGACCATAAGAAATGATCACTGAAACAGGAACAGGAGTGCAGTTTAGAGGGCAATCTTTTTGAGGCTTGGCATATGCCAAACCTAACGGCAGCCAGAGCAACGTTAACAGTTTTATGTTCTCAACTAGTTCTACCCAGCCATTTTTCAGTTGTTTTTAACTAGACCAGACAACTGGTGTATCACAGCAAAAAGCCTGAAATTCCAACAACAGATCATGATACACCCTAACTATTGGGTAAGAAATAACTGGGTAGCATGCTGCTAGCTGAACTGGTGTTATGTACACCTGACTGGATCTCCTGCTTGTATGGATTTTTTGACATAATGCAAAGATACAGGCAGTGCAAATCATCAGATAAGTCTGGAAGAACTCTGTGCACCATAGGTCATAGAACAGCTGTCATAAGGGCATTAACTCAGCATTGATAAGATAGTTTACATTAGCTAAAAGACTGTGCCTACAGATTCTACAAATTAGCTCAAGTATAGCTCATGATTAAAATCACTTTTAAAAGTCAGCCTGTAATTCCATGCAGCACGTGTATTGCTCTTCAACAATAAACAAAGGGAACCCACACAAAGAGAAAAAACAAGAAACTGGATTATCACAGAAAAACTACAGCTCCAGAACATTGGTTGTGACTGGAAGAAGCAGCAGCTCAACTATCTGGCTGAAGTATTGTTTCACCTCAAAAAACATTTTTGCTTTGATCTCCTTTTTCTTTAGGTTAAACTTGGCTTTCTCCTTCATCAAGAAATAAGAACATTTATAATATACTGGTTTAATAAGAAGCAACAATAAAATCCGTTTCTATCTGTTTAAAAGGCTTTGTATATGAACATGAAAACAACTAGTTTACCTCATTAAATCTTCATTAACCCTGCCTTGGTACCAAAATCAGCATGAGTTAGAAGTGAATTACCAACAGCAAATGATTTGTTTATTGATTTTAACCACTTTGACTTGCACACAACTCCACAACTGCCAATGCAAAATGAGTATTCTACACCTTATATTTTAATCCACAGATTAACAACCATTTGAACAACTATCTCAGTCATCGGCTATTTCTGGCGTGACTGCCCACATCATGTACATGTACCACATGTAGAATGCAAGAATTTGATAGAAAACCAGGTGTAAGCCTGCATATGAGTTAAAAGCTTGTATTTTCCAAAGCATTATTATCATGTATTTCTGTATGTAGCTTTGGCTTATGAAATGTGTACAAACTGCAAACATATTGAAGAATACGATCCCTTGTTACCTAATTGTGCCCTGAAAGGACCTGTCAGGAATTGTGCTTTATATTTCATCAAGACAATGTAGCTCATTTTTTTAATCATGTCCATCAAATGTAACTTAACCAACGAATAATGTTAACTTGAAACAAGAAGCGTAAAAGCAGCACAGTCCCCTAAAGATGACAATCTTTATATTCCCTAACAGTATTTTCATTGCAGCAAGGCCTTACTTCAAGGTCTTACTATGTAAAACGACAGCCAAGAGGAAACCTGCTGCCTTCACTCACTGAGGTAGAAATGAAATCAGATACTCTTTAAGGAGGGCCTGGTAAACAGGGACCAGTTTGCAAATACTTTCTTTCAATACATTTCTTTCCATACATTTTTATACTTTGTCACATTCCCTCCATGATCTGCAGAGCTTTTACAGTGAAAGTTAAAATGGAGTTTTAAGCATACATATAGCCAGCTGCATCATGTGAAATATCATGCAGACTTGAACTCCACAAGCTCGATGTCAAGCCACTCTATCAAGCAAGATAATTTCCAAATGTGCTGATAAAATGTATAAGCTTCACCCTTATAGTCTTATCTATGCAGGAACTTCCAAGTCACAATTTTAGTAGTAAGGGGAAGAAAATTTACTTCCTATATACACAACAAAAAGCTCAGAAAAACAGTGGAATGAGCAACGTACAAATACAAGGTAACCTGCAGTATATTTGAACAACACAAGGTGATAAAATGACTTCTGGCCATATTCCTTAAATCCATCCTGCTATCAAGAATTATTCACTGCATCAAGTAAAATAAAATATACATTTTAACTGAAACATCTAGCCTTTGCTAGATAGAGGGGGAAATTTAAAATAATGCATCTCAACCCTGCTTTTATCTTCCTGACCAATACATGCAAGAATTGATAAGCTAAGCAATCCAGGCAAGTAATTTCAATTGCTTATTCGGTTCAAAATGATGATCTTCATATATGATTACTGCTGACCATTATACACTGCTCCTTCAGCGAAATGGATCCTGTGTATTAAACTTTGTAGTATTGTGTCCTATGCCACGGAAGGAAATCTATAAGAATCACTTTTATGAAAATTGAAGTAGTGTTTTCTTTAGTAATCTTTTTAACCAAACACACTGCAATTCAATAACTGGCACAGTTAGATGTGACCTGACTTCAGAGCTGTATCATCTGAAATAAAATTGTAAAAAAAATCTGTGCATAAAAAGACTAGTAAATGTTTTACAGGAAAAGAGTGAAAAATACATTGATTGTAGCAATAAAAACCAACAGCACAATGAAAGATACGACTAACAGCCTTCTGTTGTGTCTATTGAACTCACCCATATTCCCACCTATCACACTGTTTCTATCAGTGAACTCAAAGCAAAGTTATCATATACTGTGTGGCACTATGTTTATTCTTAGTGTCTCGCTATCAAACACACAAAAAATGTTGAAACATTTTTTGTCTGCTTTTTCATCAACAATGGCAATAATTTGGGTATTTCTTCTTCATCCAGTTCACAGTTTTACAAAACTACATGGAATTTTGAAAACTTCAAGCCGAACACTCTCCTCATATTGAAACAGGATTTAAAGTTAACAGGGATATAGAGACAATCAAGTCAACAGTAAAACTAAGTTTTATTTCCATAGTAGGAAGAGTTGAAAGTATCATAAGTTACTGCATTAGATGTGACATTTCCCAACCTGATTTCTCAGCTCTCCACAATTTTCAAACAGGATTTGTTAAGGATAATTGTTACATTTTTAGGCTAAATATCATCATTCCATTATTTAAATATTTTACACTGAATGCTGGGAAACCTAGCCAGATATTCATCTGGGTTTTCTTCTTGTTTTGTTTTGCTTTTAATTTCTTATCTAACAGAATAAAATGCCTAGGTTAGAAAAAGACATCAAATACTCTATTAGCATTCCTATTTTCCTTCTGTTTTTTTTTTTTTTTTCCCATTTGTTTCTTCTGTCAGTTATTACTCCTGCATTACTGTTCTTCTTTACTGTTTAAGTATCATAAAATGATTATATACTGAAGAAATGAAAAATTTTAAGAATTCTAAAACACTAAGATGACCTTATTACTTACTCAAATTCTGTAGCATAATATTTGAAGAAGCCTATTAGCAGTTCACCAAGACTTGACTCATTTTTTGAGAGGTAAGGAGGAATGGTACATGGTGCCTGATGAACAAGATGCAGCTGCATAGTAGGATCAAAAGATTCCTGTCAAAATAAAATCAGAGTATGTACATACAAACACACATACAACCTTAATCTAGGTGCACTTTTTTTTTTATTTTTTTATTTTTACGAAACAAAAGCTGGCCTTTATTTGTTTATTAGAAGTTCAAGAAAAACTTATAAGAAAAAGGTTCTATTATTCTTGTGCTCTTCTGTTAGATATTAATCACTGCAATGAGCTCAAGCAGAAGCATCTCATACAGGACTCTCTGACACCAATCCTTGCCTTCAGTTCATTGAAGAATTTTTACATGGGACAATCTCTCAACTAGACTTGCATTTACAAGCTATTAAAACAACATGAGCAGAGGCTGAGGAAGATAGCCTACACCAAGCTGGGTGCAGCTGAACTAACATAGTGTAGGTGAAGATAATTCAGTTATAATCAAGTTACCATAACTGCAATATAGAAACACTCAATCTAAAAAGACGACTTGATTTCTTTTTCTCACAGCATAAGCTTGCATCTCAAACTTACTAGCTCTAATACGAGTCCGCACTCTGCCATAAAATTATTTCAAAGACTGCAGTAGCATCTTCTCTACTCAAACTATCTGAAAGAATAAAAAGACTTACACACAAAAAACTTGAATACAGAATGTGGCATTTAAGTGAAGTACATTTTTCTTTCAGAAGCAGTAATGACCTAAGCTATTACAGGATCTCCAGAGATCATCTGTGAAAATCTAACACAGAAGCAAGTTCTGTATAAACTTCAGAATAGACTGAGGCATTTTGTGGGCTACTCTTATTTGTCTCATCTGGCTGGACAGTCAGGAATCCCCAGAATCTAACTCTGTGTATGATATGCTTCAGCACTTCTGCAAAAAGTCAGCTTGGTGCCAGCTGGACTAGATGCCACATGGCAACAGAATGCACAGGTGGGCAGATCTGGCGGCACTCCAGGACTTCACACCGTTCACATCTGTGATAGTGATATATTGAGTCACAGAATTTGCCTTTTATTTCTTGTTCAAGATAAGCACGTGACTTTTACGTGGCATCTATGTTCTAAAGCAAGTAATTTCCTTCAAAGCACAAAAGTATTTTCAGGTTTCAGAAAGAGCTGCAATTATGATTTCTGAAGAAAAACAGACTAAGTAGGGTGGCTTGTTTCAGAAGCAGCTAAGCAGTATTTATGTAACAGAGACACAGTTTTGATTACCTGCAATCACAAGAAAGAAAACTTTTTTTTTTTTTTTTTTTTTTTTTTTAGGAAATTGGTATTTGCTTATACTCTGTAATTACTACTACAGCATACAAGACCAAAATAATTTTGGTATATTTCTCATTTTCATTTTCTTTTTGATATCAGTTTTCAGAGGTTGTAACTTTGCAGCACATTTTGAATACTTAGCTATATTCCTAATGGGGAGAGTAAATGGAAAATGTATTTGCAAATTTCCAGAATGCTTTTTTTCTTTTAATATCTTAATCCACAGTTTTGGTTCAGTTCTGTGGCAATCATATATAGAGTACTCTTTTAATATTATCACTAATCCTATAATATTTTCTTGATTCTCCAGAGGCAAGATAAACAAAAATTTATGCTGAGACAGGATAAAAATGCAGTGTTCTAGAAATTCAGGAACCTGCAAATGATTTAACTCTTTTGCAGGTGAAAACTTGTATTTGTAGATGCTCATCAGCATTTTCAGAGTTATGGCATTGTATATATTTTTGCTCTACTTGTTTTAATCATTAATATTTGTAATGTACTCTGAAGACATTTATACAGTTCATACACTAGAATTTGAATTATTATTACAAACAAGTATATGTTACTGATTCTTACAGCTGTTTACTTTACACTCTACAAAGACCCAAAATACTACAGTATATAAAATTTAGGCAAACATAATTAGAAAATTTAGTAATTAAAAAGAATTCAGGAGATAAAGCTAAACTTGCAAGAACTAGAAAACTAGCTTCACTCATTTTTTCCCCCTCAATTTAAAATGATTCTGCCAAAACACTGTTTGCAGCAACGAAGAGATTAGAAGATACATGATACTGCAAAAATCAGAAAAAATAAACATCATCAACATTTATCAGAGGTATACCTAAGAAAGGTTACAAAACAGGAATAAACAAAACTTTAATTTAATATTAGCTAAAAGGCTTCTTCTGCATCTCGATTATCCTAATTATCCAAGATGGCTGACACCACAGCATTTTCTCACCGATAACATCATGAAATATTCCCTTTACAGCATTACAGGGAGTGTATGCAAAACGAAGTGTAGCTTTCTGACACTATCTCCACATAATTATGAGCAACAGTAAAAAAAAAAAAAAAAAGCATACCTCTACAGGGACATCAAGACATAGCAACAATGAATAAAGAAAAATTTTAAAAAGAGCAACTGAAATGAAAATTAGGAGGAAGGCATGAGGAATTTTTCTAGATAAATGACGACGCTGAACTACTCAGGAATAGTTCTTCTGTCCTCAAACAAGCATTTAAGAGATCAGCTATTATTTTTAGGTAAGGAATTAGATAAATGCTCACTAATTACAGTAATAATTCTGCAGAGGATTAAAAGCATACAGATTCACAGAGCTCTCTGGAAATCAACAAAGTATGATATAGATACGACTGCAAAGGCTATGCCAAAAGGGCATTTTCTTGTTACAATTTTGAGGTTACACATGTCTCAAACATACCTTACTCAGTCTCTGAAATAAAAAATATCAGGCAACTCAACAGTTGTTGGAAGGTACAGAAAACTGAAATACTAAATTGGACAGAAACAACACTGCTAAACTTACTAAGAAATAGCAGTCAAAGTTACAGAGGATACAGGGATATTTTCAGTTCACCATAGAGAGAATTAGGTCAGCAGCTGTCATTAGCACACATTTCTGAGTGAAATCTTCTCTTATAAAGTAAGTTGTTTTCACTAAAGAAATGATCAAAAGAAGCAAATTACCCTTCTTATGCTCAAGTTTATTCTATCAATTACCAGGCTTATAAACTGTTTAATTTTACCCATTACAGACACTTAAGAATTCATGTATTTTAGATAAGTAGTTTCATATACGTACATGATGTAGTAAATACATAAGAAACACTTACAGGGTAATTTTTTTGGAGGGATGGAAGGATGGGTTCAGGTAGGGCTATAAAAAAAAAAGTTCAAAGTTGCTGTGATTCACATATTTCATAGGAAACAGTATTACCTCAAAGGACTGGACTGAAATTCTATCTTAGAAATATCTACTATGAACTTCACTTGCATACATAAAGTAAAAATTACTCCATAAATATTTATATTACTTTATTTTGTATATAATAGTACAAGGAGTTAATTCAGCTAAGAGAAGACACTGTTACTAAGACAATGCTATTTGCAGAAGACATGAAAAGTCTACAGCAGCTGGATACTACTTGACTTTGAAAATTTATGTTAATTCATTGTTATAAGAAATTCACCTAGATTTCCAAAAGGCAAATTATAGCTTCACTCATTTTTTCCCCTTAATTTAAAATGATTCTGCCAAAGCATTGGAAATCTCTATATACTGCATAAACATACACTTTTCAGCTGCTAAGTATTATATACTGAGTCTTGAATATCAAACTTTAAGATAAAACACCCAATAGTTAATAGCTGTTCCTATCCATATAAAATAAATAAATAAAGTCTAATGCTCTTAGCTGGTCTACTGAATGGCAAACGGGATATTAAGATCATACAGACAATAACGATACTAACACAACATAAACTAAACAATTATAACTTTTATAAGGCATAAATGGGAAAACAAACTGCACAATAAAATTAAAAGAGAAAAAACTATCTCCCAAATCTGATAGTGCTAAAGGTGGACAGAAGAAAATCCTAAAGTATCAACATCCTTCTAAAGAATCAGAGCATTGACAGCATGGTTAGCATAGTTCTTGTTCTGAACTTCCAATACTACCATGTCTTTTTACACAGTTACCTGCATCATTCACTAGCAAAAATGATCATTAAGTTCAGCATACAGGACCTTGACTTGGGTCCTGATTCAACCTTCAAACAAGGTCTCACAGAGGAAGCGATGTTAAAGAATCCCTCTTCCGCAGGGACCAAAAATGAGAACAGCAGAATTCTTACAGTATGCTTGGGATACCTTCAGAAATTATAATATGCGAACTAGCAGTTGCTTGAATAATCTTTTTTTTTTTTAATGGGTGTCCACAAGTATCAAAGTGTATTTTATTTCTATAAGGTTTGGAATATTTTTCTATCCCCTGCCATAATGAAAGAAATGGCAACAAGATCTAGGCAATAAGAGTAATTAAGATACTTCACCTGGGTCTGTAGAATACACTGAGAGGATGGAGTCATGTGGAAAAATTACTTACCACTAGCATTTGCCACAAGTTTCTGTTTTCCTAGTTTATAATGACAGTTGGACCTGCTACCTGGAGGAAGGCTCATTCATAAGACACTGATGTACCTAAGAAATAAACTCAAGCCAAGGTTCTAAGTTTTCTGCACAAGTATGAGAACATTGAAATGCATTAAGAAGGAAAACAGCTTGCCTGGTGAAGATATAGACACTGTTTCCTGCTCAAGAAAACTTTTAAATTACATTTTTTTCTTCCCTTGTACCATCAACAAAAGCCCCATTAGAAAATTGTGTGACTGGGACATAAGCTGTTTTCAATATTATCATATGCATGTAGCAGAAGTAAAAAAAATAATGTGAAATTTGCAGGAACAAAAGATTAGATGCTAGATGCACAACCAGATGACTGCCTTTTTTAGGCAGTAAAGATGACAAAGCACAGTTAAAAGGCCCCTTTGATCTGCAGACTTCTGTTAAGCCTTAGGAAGCTGATTGATCAGACAGATTTCCATGAAAAGAATTATTCAAGTTGTGGCAGCTGCCACAAATGACTACAGCAAGTGCTCTCATGCTTGCAAAGTTGTTAACATTACTTCTACACAGATGTGCTCCGTTGCCTACAGAATGGGTTCAGTGCTGTGACAACAGACTTAATGTTTTTTTTCCACGGAAACAAATCTATGGAATTCCACCACAGCAGATGTACAGAAAACACCACACAGGACAGACATGCTTACATTCTATTGTCCTTGAGATTTGTATGTTAATAATATGCACATGGTGTAAGCATCAAATTTAACACAACCAACAGGATCCTAAACATACAAACATCTTCCTAGGTCCTCTACTACAGATATTGTTGAGCTGAAAGAAAACTGCCAGCTTGAATCAACTATCACAAAAAAGCCCACCCTAGAACAGAGTAATATGATCTTGAAACTAATAAATAGTTGGCTACTCACTCTATAGCAAGTATTCTTCATTCCAGGCCAAATAAGCTGTCAGATGAACTAAACACTGCATTTTTCTAATGGATTAACAGAACAAAACAAAAGTTTAACAAAGCAAAGTGCATGATTTTGCACTGAGTTGAAGTAAACTCAGACATATATATATAGGCTGGGAGAAGAACTCCTTGACGACAGACCTGCTGAGAAGGACTTAGGTGTCCTGGCTGACGAAAAACTTAGTATGAGCCAGCAGTGTGCGCTTGCAGCCCAGAAGGCCAATGGTATCCTACATTCCATCAGAAGAGGGGTGGCCAGCAAGGACAGGGCCCCTCTACTCTGCTGTCGTGAGGACCCCACTGGAGTACTATATCTAAGGCTGAGGCCCCCAACAAAGGAAGGATGTGGAGCTGCTGGAGAGGGTACAGAGGAGGGTCATGAAGACGATCCAAGGACTAGAGCACCTCTCCTGTGAGGACAGGCTGAAGGAATTGGGCTTGTTCAGCCCAGATAAAAGAAGACTGTGGGGAGAACCTATTGTGGCCTTCCAATATTTAAAGGGACTTTGTAAAGGTGAGGGAAATAATTTTTTACAAGGATAGATAGTGATAGAACAAGGGGGAATGATTTTAAATGAAAGGGGATTTACATTAGATGTTGGGAAAGTCTTTTTTTTTTTTTTTTTTTTTTTAAACTGAGAGAGGGGTAATGGAACAGGTTGCCCAAAGAAGATGTAGATGCCCCATCCCTGAAGGTATTTAAGGTCAGGTTGGATGGGGCCCTGGGCACTCTGATCTAGTACTTGATTAAGTGCTTTACAATCCTGCCTTTGGCAGGGGGGGTTGGAATTTGATCATCCTTGAGGTCCTTTCCAGCCCAAGCCATTCTATGATTCATATGATTCAGAAATGGGGAAAAAAAAAAATCAAAATAACAAAAAACCTACACAAACTGACAGAAAAAAAGTGTTGAAATGAGTGGAAAGAACTACTAGTTTATACTTTAAAAAATTGAAACAGAAAGAATTAAGCAGCAAAACATGAAATGTGTGTGTGAACTGATAGGAATTTAGAAAATAGTTCTGTAGATTTGTTACTCCATATGATGTGCTCTTCAGTGGTTTCTTGCCTTCCTTTGTGAAATTACTTATCTCACAATAAGCAATGAAAAAACTCATATCGAGTTAAATGACTTCTTACGAGACTCCTTATGTCTTAAGCAGGAATTGTAAACTGCAGAATTACAAATGTGGTCTTCTAGTGACAGAAAGGGATGGGGGAAAGCTTTTTTCAAACTATTCTTCAGGAATCTTTTTAGACTGTATGGGTTTCTTGAATTCTCAGCAGGGGTCTTCAATCTTCTGGTAAAGCTCTCCTGCTCCAAATAGATGTTGAATATTTCAACATACTGTAGACACAAGAAAAACATTCTGCCCCTTGAAGTTAAATATCTCAAGTTCTAATGGTTTTCAACATCAGTCACTTTAGGAAAGTCCACATCAGAGCAAAGTCTAACCACATGGTACACATCCCCTCCCCATTCAGTCTTTTGCACGTGAGAACAAGAACAAACATTCCCTCAGTGTTTGTCTCAAATTCACTTGAAAGTTCCCAAAATTTAAAAAGAAGTTGTTGTTTTCAAGCTTAGATCTTTTCAACACATGCACATTTTTCAAGAACTAGAGCTTGAGTTTATTTTAAACAGTGTCCTGCAAACTTTTTTTTCTTTTTTTCTTCCTTCTTTTTTTCTTTTTAAAGCTGATAACCACCTCCAGAGAGTAGGTCCACTTTTTATACCAAATCACACCACTTGGGAAATGAAGTAAAATCACCTCCTTTTCTATGTGGAAGATGATTTCTGCCAATGTTTAACTGTTTTAAAGAGCAAAGCTACACAAATATAAACTTCAAAAATGACAGTTTTAACATGCAAAAACATACTTACTCTGTAAATAGTGCAAAACCATCAATACAAGACTATAGCTGCTTAAAGTACCACGGCTGGCATCATTTATGTCATGAAAACTCGCCCACTTCTTAACAACCAGTACTAATGGACGAACACGTTTCTCAACTGTAAATAAAACAAATACTTCTCAAAAAAAGCACATTTAGCTAGGCAACAGTTAGTCAATTTTTGTTCCTTCTTGGTCAACGTGATACCATTCTTGCATTCTATGGTTACCTTCTGCAAACTTTTAATAGAACGTACTTAATCGTTATACAGCTTCTACCAATCTTACAAAAGTCACAAAAAATATCTGCATTTGAAAAGTAGTCATTTGAGGAGTAAAATCTAGAGATACCTAGCCAGCATAACTCTCGCAATGTAGTTTGCAGCTAAGACAAAACTGGATGCACCGCACCAGTCAGCAAGGCAGCATTGCATTCTCAGTTCTCTCCAGTATATTATATAAATTTCCTGAATTAACTTGCTATCAGGACAGACCAAATGTAGATGTTTTAAATTTATATGATGTAAACTTTGAGGGTAGGGAAAATAATTCTTATGATTGGTAGAGAATAAGATTATGTTTAAGCATTCTTTGGAGTCTATGAAAAGAGTAATCATGTGCTCAAATCTCAGTTTTGTAATTTGCCTTGGTTTAAGTAGGTTTCTTTTCTACACAAATGCATACAGCATGAGGAACAAGAGAGAGGATTCATAAGCCTTGGTTCAGTTCCAGAGCTATGACAAAACTGGCAAGACTTGGTGGAAAGAGTCCTGGGATGTCTGTCAGAGCAGACAGTCCTGGGCTTTTTAGGAGGGAGAGACAGGAAGGGTGAGGTGGGGTTGTGCTGTGTGTAACAGAGAGGCTAAGCTGTACGGTGCATGCTATTGACAATGACACAGCTGAGAGTCTCTGTTGCTGTGAGAGTCTACTACATAGGTCATCCAGACAGAAGGACAACACTGGTGTATTAGTCTCTAAGAAATAAAGGGGTATCTCTAGATCAGTTGCCCTCACCCTTACAGGTGACTTCAACTTCCTAGACGTTAATTAGAAATACCATGCACTTGCTACAAACAGGATCAAGAAATTCTGAAAGCACACTGATGATAACTTCTTGGTAGAGGTACTATAGGGAGCCTACTAGGAAAGATGCCCTGCTAGATTCGATTCTTGTAAAGAGAAGGCAAAGCATTAATTGTTAGTCACTGTGGTGACAGTGAACATGAAATAGCCAAGTTCAAAATTGTTGGCAGAAGTAGGAAAAGGGACAGTAAAAGTTCAAGGCCGCAAACTGGAGCACATGAAATTCAACACCAACATGTGAAGGAACTTCTTCACAATGAAGATGATGGAGCACTGGAACACGCTGCCGAGGGGGTGCTGTGGATTCTCCTTCTCTGGAGGTATTCAAGAACTGCCTGGATGCCTACCTGTGCAGCCTGCTGTGGGGGGCCTGCTTTGAAGTGGGTTGGACTCAATGATCTCTGGAGATCCCTTCCAACCCTTACAATTCTGTGATTCATTCATAGATATGGGGAGAGTAGACTAAATTAGTTTTGCTGGCCTTCCAGAAGAGGCCACCTAGGAAGAATGAAAGAAGTTTTGAAACTAGGATCCCTTCCACCGCTTTTTAACATCTAGATTCTTATCTGCCACATAACAATTTGTGGGAAATTTGCAGCAGAAGCTAGAAACAACTGTATCAACATTTGATACAAGCCCTCACCCACAGCCATGAATTGAAAATGGTATCCTATTCTTTTGAAACTCAGAATTAAATTTCTTTCTGGCCAAAGATGTATAAAGAAATTATACTTAGTGTCTTATCCTGAGCAAGAGTTAGACCCTCATAATAAAATGAATATGTAACACTGAAATGGCTCTCTTTGAAATCTTAATCAAAATTAACCATTAAAGGTAACCTCTACTGATAGCTTCCTACATCTGCAACTCCCTTGCAATGAACATCTTGAGTACTGTGTTCAGTACAGGGCTCTGCAGTTCAAGAAAGACAGGGAGCTACTGGAGAGACTCCAGTGAAAGGCCATAAAGATGATCAGGTCTGGGAGAGACCTGAGACTGATCACCCTGGAGAAGAAAGTCTGAGAAAGGATCTTATCAATGCTTATAAATTTATAAAGGGCAGGAGGCAAGTGGATTGGGCCAGGTTCTTCAGCGGTGCCAGTGGCAAAAAAAGGGGCAATGGGCACAGACTGGAGCACACAAAGTTCTATATGAACATGAGAGAAAAACTTATTTACTGTGAGGGTGACAGAGCACGGAAACCAGCTGCCCAGCCTCCTTCTCTGGAGATATTCAAAACCCACATGGACACTTTCCCTACTCTAGGGAACCTACTTTAGCAGTAGGTTGAAGTAGATGATCTCCAGAGAGCCATTCCACCCCCTATGATTCTGTGATTCAATAATTAGCCTGAAGTCTGCTTCTTAAGTATGGATCTACTAAAAAAATACTGTGGTACTAAGTTTGAAAAGCTTAGTTTACTAGATTTGCAAAGCAGACTTCTCATTAAGAAGAAGTCTGCTTCACAATCCTCTGGAACACAAAACCCATATTATTTTGGGGTGAGTATAAGAACTGAAGCAGTATTTTATATTTTTCCAAGAAAAGATTCTATAAGAACATAGATCTACAGCTAGCTATTAGCTACACACACTGATTAGTAACTGTCAGGAAACAAAATAAAGGTAACAGTATAACGATGTGTTTGACATTGTTCCCCTTCCTCTCCCTCCTTATCTTCAGAAAACTTTACATCTTCTAACAGATATGTGGGCCTTAGTATGAAGAATCTTTGTTACCTTCTGAGTACTACAGTATTCATTAGAAACTAGCTGATACATTGGTTTAATCCAGGCATGTCCAACCCAGGCATGGCCCACAGATGGCCCAATATGGCTGGCAATGTGGCACTCCCAATGCCCCTCACCATAGAAGTGACAGCTCTTCAGCACAGAGCAGCCCTAGGTATGCACCTATCGCTCAGCAACAACCAAACCAACAGTACACTGTTAACACTGTCATCTGAAACCAGAGCACGGAGATGGCAGTGCTGACTCAAGTGATGGCAAATAATTGCATGCATTTTGATTCACTGGCTAAATACGGTGCTGTGAACAGTGAACAATATGCAGCCATGCTTCCCATTTCAATAAAGGAGTTTGAAAATAGGTTTTGAGATTGCAAAGGAAACTGATTGATGTTTGTGACACCATTTTCAGTTGATATAAATAGATTACCTACAGATTTTCAAATAGAATGTATATAATTGCAATCAGATACGCAACTTAAAAATCTGATCGCATCTCTTCACCTTTTGTAAGACCTCTCTTACCAGAGGGAAAGATACTTTGCTTCACAATCACACCTTATCCATGTCATTGCTTTTCAGCAGTACACACATTTGTGAACAATTGTCAAGGATCCTTCATCAAGGATAAAGCACAGGAAGAGTAAAATTTCAGCAAAGATCTCTGATGAACACTTTGAGGGTTCACTAGCCACTTCCACTAAACCACGTATTAGTTTTAGAAAAACAAGTTCAAATATCCCACTAGTTTTCTGTTTTTGTTCTCTTTTCATTACTTTTAAGAAAAATATTAAAAAATAAAATGCTTTGTTACTTATAAATGAACAATATTGTACATTTTACAAGGGCTGTTCTGAAAGTAATGCCTCCTGTATTATGTTGGTCCATAATGTCAGAGGCAGACGGTGGTGGTATGGCAGCAGAGGCTGAACTCTCTCAACAATATTCCATTATTTTGTGACTATTTTGGGAGCAGAAGAGCAGTCTGACAAAGTGGCACCTGAATGGAAGTGTATATGGAGCAAAGGTGTGGAATTGAGTTCCTCCACATAGAACAAAATGCACCCATTGAAACTGATGCTTGCTGAACATTTATGGAGATCAAACAGCGGATGTGAGCACACTGAGGCAGTGGTTGGCATGTTTCAGCAGTGGCAACAATGGATCACCTCTGCTGGTGCAGATTTTTTTTTAAGAGCGCAGCACATAGGCTCATTCATCATTGGTGAAAATGCATGGCTAATGTGGTAACTATGTTAAAAAATAGTGTTTTGTAGCTGAGAATTTGCCCTTCATAAGTGTTATAGTTCCCATGGAAATAAACAGGAGGCATTACTTTTAGAGCAACATATTTGTTGCCAAGACAACATCTATTCACTCAATGCAGCCATGCAAGTCAGAAGGTTGGACACTCAGGGTTTAATCCATGCATTTAAAGTGAGAAAGAAATTTAGCTTATATCTAACTGATGTAGCTAATTGGTAATTTTATATAGTTCCTTACTGAACTGAATTTTCACAGTCTATCAATACCAAAATAAAACTAAGCACGTTAAGTTTATAGAAACAAGGAAATAAATTAAAAACTTACCGTATGCATAGGTTCTCAGAAGGAATGTATTTCTTATTCCTACAATATTATTTACATTCAAGTCAAACTCCACACAGCTGTTAGGAAAAATAAAAAAATCAATAATCATAGTACTAATTTCAAAATATTTATTACCAACCAAGTGGCAGAGGTGGAGAAATGCATCCTTAAGATAACTATACTTTAGAAGCCTCCCAAACAGTACAAGTAAAACAGTTTGATTCTTGTTCCAGTTTTGTCTACAGTAGTTGAATCATTTATAGACTTCAACTGCATGATCAAATATGGCTGTATTTATGGAGAACATACATAGATACAAACATAGAACACAGAACAGTTTATCATAAAATTGTTGGAATTCTAATAAATCTTCCTCCCAAACAAAATTCCAGCACATGATCTACCATGGATACATTTGATGCCTCCAATATATTCATTCATGCCAGTGAACTGAAAAGGATATGCAACTGGAAGAAGTCAAAATGTAAGAATCTCTTTGTTGCAATGATGACTAGGAATAATTAGCAAGCATTTTGAAATGAATATTATTCACTAGTAAATAGTGCATGTTATTTGAAAAAATGGTGGAAAAAAATAAATATGGATCATAACTATTCCAGAGCACACAATTTTTAATAATTGTTTCATTTTTTGTTTTTAATGATATAATGACGCAAACAAGCATTACGTGCTTTATTTTTATCTGCTCAAGAAGGAAATTCGAACTGCATACTGTCTACACACGTTAACTGCCCATACTAAAAAACCTATGAGGGTTGCTCCTAAGGTAATGCCTCTCGTTTTATTATGCTGGCCTGCAACATAAAAGGTAGTCAGTTGTACGGCAGTAGAGATTGAACCTTTCCACCAACATTCCACTATATGTTGTTGCCACACGACAGATGGCAGCAGAGTAGCAGTCCGACAAAATGGTATCTGACATGAAAACTCATAAAGCAAAGGTGTGTCACTCAATTTCTTAATGTAAAAACGGCACACACTGACAGACATTGACACTTGCTGAACTTCTACAGTGATCAAACAGTGGATAAGAGCACAGTGAGGTGGTGAGTGGTTTCAGCAGCAATGACAGGAGGTCACCTCCAGTGGTGCAGATTTTTTTTTTCGAGAGGAGCATGCAGACTCTTGTCCATTGCTGGCAAAAATGCATAACTAATGGTGGTGATTATGCTGAAAAATAATGTTTGTCAGGCATAACTTCCTCTTTGTGAATGCACGCTCATTATTCCTCATAATTTTCTTTCATTTCATATGCCTGGGAATGGTTTCAAGGAAGGTTTCATCACCTTCCAGGGACTGGGTCCTTCTTCTTGCCCTTCCTGAACATAAGCGGCATTTGCTTTCCTCTGTTTTTCAGGTACTTATGCCAGTTGCTATAATCATGCAAAAATTATAGGGTGGCCTCACAATCACATCTGCCAGCACTATCAGCACTCGTGAGTGCATGCCATCAGAGCCTGTGGATAGCACAAGGGGAATGGTCTTAAAGAGGAGAGATTTAGGCTAGACATTAGGGGTAAATTATTTATTCAGAATGTGGTGAGGCACTGAAACAGGCTGCCCAAAGAAGCTGTGGATGCCCTATCCCTGGAGGCATTCAGAGTCGTGGTGGATGTGACCCTGGGCAACCTGCCCAAGCAAGAGGAGACTAGAACTTGATGATCTTTATAGTCCTTTCAAATCCAAGCTCTTCTATCATTTTATAACTTGCAAATGACCAGTTCACTAAAGTATTTTCTAACCTGCTCCTCCTCCACTAAGTACACCCTATCTGTTCCAGTCTTTGTCCTTGGCGTTTGGGACCTGGGATTATTCTAAGTCAGTCCTCAAAGTAAGGAAGGCATTCAGTACCTCAACCTTTTCACTGTTCTGTGAAACCACACCCCCAGCCCCATTCAGCACTTTATCCACATCTTCCCTACTTTTTCCTTTGATAATGATGTATTTGTAAAAGTCTTCCACATTGCCTTTGATGTATCTTGACTGACTCAATTCCATTTGGGCTTTTAAATTTACTAACTTCATCACTGGATGCCTAGACAGTGTCTCTGTTTTCCTTCCAGGTTACCAATCCTTGCCTCCATGCTCTGTAAGCTTTCTTTCTCAGTGTTAGATACTTACTATATCTGATAAGAAGTACATTGCTCCCTATTATAGCATATTCCTCTTGGTTACTTATTTTCATTGTGTTCACAACAAATACAAAACCAATAAAAGAATATATAACACATATACTTCAGTCCAATTACTTCCCCTTCGTAAAAAAAAGGCCATGAAACTAGTACATAACATCATGAATCACACATGCAACACTACATTTTGTTTAAACACAGAATACCTCTCTAGAAGAGGGAAGATTGTTTTCATGATTTAAAATATTTTCTCCCTTTTAGAAGACTATGCCATTGCAAAAAACTAAAGATTGTTTTAGTATTGTTTGCATACTCTAAAAAGCTGTGAACTGGTCCTTAAGTAGCTCAATAGTTTAGCTGTTTACACAGAAAGAAAAATTATTTTTCACAACAGTTTACTTCCTATCTTTTTTTCCCCCTGTTACAACGCATCTGTCAACTGGAATCTCCTAAAATTGCCTGTAGAAATACACAATGTCCTGCTATTAGTTCACATCGCAGAAATGAAACAGCAGTCCCATCAGAAGAAGAGTTTTGGATCATCAAGGAATTGCTCTGCCACTGCATGCTAGCTGTACAAATCTGCAGTACAACTATAGCACAACAAAAACAACAACAAAAGACTGCAATGGGCTAGCTTATATAGAGAGCACAAACAGACTATTTTCCCTTGTCAAAGTCCAGGAAATGAAGCTGAACAAAGTACTTGCCTGACTTTATCCCTGAATTTCACTATTGGCACTTTTGCTCGAATCAGCTGAGGTCGCTCAATGTACCTTGCTGAAAGAGAGAAATATTTAGTTAAGTTTCATGAAAGATGCCTGAAAAAAAAGCTCCTGGAGTCAAACTGAGTGATCTAGAGCAAACAGAAGCTTACTACATTTAACAAAAATATTCTCAGAAGGATGGTGCTAAATTAGGTAACATTTAGCAACTGCTGTGAAAGTGCAATCTAGGAAAGAGTATAAAAATGCAGTAAACATTAGAAGAAAACAATAGCTCAAAAATTTTCGGCAGGAAATACTTTCAAGAAATTTGAACATAAGGAATGCCAGTCTAAAGTGCCTTCAACAAGAAGTACTTACATTATTCAGGCTTTCTATCACCATTACAGATCAAAAATAAGGGGGTGAGAACACACCTATATACCACACACCCAGATAGCTAAGCCCAGCACAATGTTACAGCAAGTGGGACATGATCAGCTGCATAGTTTTTAACTGAGTCTAATTTTCTTATGGTAGAAACTATTCATTTTACTGATAAAAAATACTAGTGTAACTGCACCTTCACTGTGCATAGATAATGCTTACATTTTCACTTAAAATCTGCTTCTTTGATCAACAGAGTAAGTACCAAGAAAGAGTTTTCCCAATGAATTAACCCTGGAAACAGGGAATGAATATGATTTGCAGGTAAGATCTCACTTTCAAACAAAGATGGAATAAGTTCAATTTACACTTTGCTTTAAAGGAGATAGGATATACATTAAGTACATATCACAGGATTGCACCTCAGATGATTATCCTCAAAGTATCAATACCCAAAATCAAACACACGAACCCCTGCCAGATGTATCCAGTGCCACCAAGTGTATCTTTGCACTTCACTACCCAAAACTGCTGTATGAGTCCATGTTACCTGCCACTTACCAGTTCTCAGTATCTCAGACTACTGAAATGTGTGCCATAATCCTAAATACAAAGTGTCCACAAGACAATAATGGAAAATAAAGAAAAAATGAGTCTGTAGTTTAAATGGCACGTGCTTGGGCAAGAATCACAGTTTGACTAATTTCTTATGTTGCAAAATATAGGTCATTTGAATTTGACTATAGTTAGCTTCAGACATTTTCTACTTGTTTCTGTAAGTTAACCTCAAATTAGCACTCACAAATGTGAAAAAGATAGTAGTGCAAATTAAAGATAACCTTAAATGAAAGCTGATGTTCACTTTTTGGGAAACAAATTTCTATCAGTTTGGATAGTTACTTTGATTGAATACTGCCAACTCTATTGTGCTTGGGTGGCATCTTCAAGTGAAACTCTTCAGGACTTTCTAAAATTGTTTTATGGATATGTTGTTTGGACAAATATGACGAAGTAATCCTTTACTTATATTTGAATGCATATATGATCCCAAGCAACAAATAGATAGATGCTCACACAACCCTCTACCTTCAATACATACCCAGAGAGAGAAAAGAAAAGTCAATCTTACCACCTTACTATAAAGAAAGAACCTTACAGCTGGTTCTGTGGTCTATCTTCACTAGCCATACAATGCATTACAACTTACACTAATGTGTCTATTTCTACCTGTACCTGTTGACATCCAAATCCCTCTCCACAACTCACCAGAACATTCTGAACTTAAAGCTATGGAATCCTGCCTTCTTTCTTTGCCAAATTTATGATAAAGACACCTGACATATAGTGTGCAGGAGACAACTGTTAGTATCTAGCACAATCTCTGTTGTACATAAATAATAGACTGTAGTAGATGAAATATATACAGATTGAATAAGCATCTTAGTATGCTATCTTGATGCTATGACCAGAAGGTATACACAAAAATCTTGTAAAGAATTTCACACAGCAACTTCAGTTTTGGGCATGTAAATGAAAACAAGTCACAGATGCTACTTCAGCTGTAGTGAAAAAAACATAATTGATCCAATGAAGACTAAGTACTGTCATCATAAATAAAATAAACTATTCATGCAGAATTTCAGATTAAGCAATGTAATTCTATCTTTTCTTTTGCAGAATAAATGATTAAGTGACTGTACAAAACGCTAATCCCAAGCATGGTACAAGCCAAAAGGATCTTTGGCATCCTACACATACAGGCTGGTCTTGTTAGTAGCTTTATACTAACGAAAGATAAACTAGATATTCTGGCATAGAAATCTGAATGCAGAGTAATGAAGTACCAAGGACAGTACCATCTAGCACAGGATGAATTAATCATTCATGTCCAGAATTCACTTTTCTTGTACAGTGACATCTTTTTGCAAAACCATATTTAAACTGAACAAATGTTTTCTTCCTCTTACATTAAATAGTATTTTACAAACTGACAGAAAACTAGATACAAGCCCTAGAAAATGACAAACCATTAACAGAACAAAACATTATAAAGATACTCTCTACTGTCAATTTATTGTAACTGGCATATACTGATAACATCATACAATAAACATAATGTGTTGTATCTACTCTAAACTAAGTAAAAGAGTCATGCTATTCTAAACTCATTAAATTTCATCATCTCTGTGATGGACTAAAACAGCAGTGTAATTAATAACATTTGGTTTTATGGCAGAAAGTTTAGAGATGCTAAACAGTTGTGAAGAATTCACCAGGGAGATGTGGCAACGTTTCTAGGTTACAGCCCTTTGTTTTATCTCATATATATAACCTATTTATGAGCGAACAAGGAGGTAAGAGGAAAAGCTTGAAGATCTTAATGCTAATCAGGTAGAAGCAGACAGAGAATGAAGAGTGCTCTTCTTAAGACATAATGTTATTCTTTCTGCGTTGTGTTTGGAAAAATTAGAAAGATTTATGTTCACACCATCATTAAGTACATTATATTCTTACCTACTTGCAAAATCCTTCAAGGTCATTGATTTGAGCTCAAGTTCCCTACTAGACAACTCCTATGAGGATTACGTTCTGAAATCCTGTTCTGACCACTATTGCATTCCTTTGTAGAACTAAGAGAAAAAGTCCTTCTAATTAATTCAGACAGTAAGCATCAATGAACATAGTACAGCTGAACTGCCATTAAAATAAATCCTTCCTAGACTGGATTAATCTAAAGAGTAATAAAACTGAGGTTTAATTCTTGTTCTTCTTGTATTATATTCTTCAATACATTGTAACAGCTATCAGTCCAAATTCACTTTTCGTATTTGTAAAAGACATCAGTTTGATCACAGAGTTCCGCACGTGAGCCAGTATTGTAGAAATATACACATGCAGGTATCTGAACAAATACATCTATAATAAATCTATATAGATCTTTGAAAGAGGATGTAAGGATTGCAGTAATATCTCTCTCTACTCTAGCAGAAATACAATACCTACCTTTGAGACCAACATGTCACATAAAATACTGAATAAATATCAGAAGCCTCCTCCTGCTTGATTATGCAACTTGACAATTCAGAAAAGAACATATCTTTACTTCAGTCAGTATTCTAAGTGGAGTGACAACACAGCCCTTAAATCTGATGGCCTCGAGTTTCTTGCTCACATTTGTTAACTTTCGCAAGCCTAAAATGAAATAAGCTGGAGTTGTCATGAATGCTGAATCTAACTAGAGAAGTCCTTGAGTGAAACACTCATCTAAAAATTAGAGTTAATAACATAAAGAGTAAAAGAGTTGGCCCAAAGTTCTGAAGATGGTTTACATAAAAGAGGTGAGAAGCTGAGAAAAGAATGCATATAAGCTGTATAGTGAAGAACAGTATCACATACTTATCTTAGCTTTCATTTTTAAGTGTACAAGAACATCACAGTCCAGGAAAAAAAGAGGATGATGAGAGGTACAGTTAGAAAAAACACCCAAGTTTCTATTCTGTGGTAATGTAGTAAGAGACTAAAAAAGCTTAGAATACTACCCATTTAACAAATGCTTACAAAACACTCACAAAAAAAAAAAAAACACACCAAAACCCTTCTTTTTTCGCCCTTTAACTCTTTCATAATGCCAGACTAAGAACTTAGTTTTAAGAAGCACATTTCCTCCATTTCTGTGCAAATTAAGCCCGAATCCACAAATCCATAGAAGTGCTCACAAGATACACCATAGAAACTAATATGCTTTCCTAAAGGTGAAGAGAATGCATATGAATCAACTAGGTTCTGAGGGCTAGCTTTGGGAAAGCAAACAAAATAACTATTCCTTTCTAAATCACACAAGCTATTCTTAAATTGTGGATAAGGATTATATTTGTTTAAATAAGCTTTCATCAGAGTAACTGGAAAACCTCCTTGTACTGAACTTCAGTGCAATGGAAAAGAAGTTTGTAAATGATTTAAATACAAATGAAAACACATTATACAGAAAAGCATTTTCACTTTAAATCATGTGAACACTTCTGAACCTTATCTTATCAGCTCCATCTACATGATGCAAGATAGATGGCTAGATACATGAATTTATGTCCACAGCGGTGTTAAAATTACGAGATGATCTAAGAGGTCTACATACCACAGCTTACAGAATTAGACAGGAGCAGTAGTATCAGAGGCATTTTTTCTAGCCTCCTCTTCCAAAGAGCAATTAGATTAAATAAAGTTTACCAAAAGCACATGCAATGTAATAGAGAATTAGGAAACAATTCAAAGAGTGTAATAGCAGAAGAAAAACTTCCAGGGACTGTTGTCCCTGAGAGACAGGAATGTCTTTCTGTTAGCAGTACACCCTGGAAAACAAACTTGTTTTTGTCTAAAACTCTCTCAAACATCTCATGAAGGGAAAAAAAAAAAAAAAAAAAAAAAAGAGACAATGAGACAGTAGTTATTTAAATGCTCCTTTTCTGGTCTCTGAAAACGAACTAATTTATCACTGTATTTCTCAGCAATGGAAATTACTTGTATTACTTGCAAGTGTAACAGACTAAGCTCTGGACTACTTAAACAACCATCATACAAAATAGCAATAATAAGTTGTTAAATATCAGATGCCTGTGCTAAGACAAACACACCTGCTCTTCAAGTAAGCTTCTGAAGGACAGGTTGAAAGATCATAGAATTGTGGAATGTCAGGGATTGGAATGGACCTTGAAAGATCACCTAGTTCAATCTCCCTGCTGGAGCAGGAACACCTAGATCAGGTCACACAGGAACTTGTTCAGGAGGATTCTGAATGCCTCCAGAGAAGAGAACCCCACAACCTCTCTGGACAGCCTATTGCTGTGTTCTGTTACCCTCACAGTAAAGAAGTTTTTTTCATATTTATGTGGAACCCCTACATTCCAGCTTACATCCACTCCCCTTTGTCTTTTCCTTACATGTCGCTGAGAAGATCCTCGCTCCATCCTCCTGACACTCACTCCTTACATATTTAAAAACATTACTGAGGTCATCTCCGCCTCCTCTTCCCCCAGCTAAAGAGACCCAGCTCCCTCAGCCTTTCCTTGTAACCCCTCCCTTAATAATCTCTGTGGTTCTGCACTGGACTCTCTCAAGCAGTTCCCTGTCCTTCTTGAACTGAGGGGTCCAGAACTGGACACAACACTCCAGATGCAATCTCACCAGGGCAGAGTGGAGGGGAAGGAGAACCCTTCTCAACCTACTAACCACACCATTTCAATACACCCCAGGATGCCACTGGCCTTCTAGCCACATATGCACACCTCCCTATTAAGAAATTCTGAAGTCTGCACAGAAATTTATAGTTCCTGTTGCCATTGCAGAAGTAAGGAGTGTCATCAAAGACTGTATCACAAGACTGAGAACTAGAGGGACAGTCTGATAATAGTAAATGACTGATAATAGTAAATGACATGATTTTTAATAATTCAAGTAGTGGTATAAAACTCTAGAATAATAGAATCATTAACTTTGGAAAAGACCTCTAAGATCATCTAATCCAACCGTCCACCTACCACCAATACTGCCCACTAAACCATGTTCTTAATAAAACATCTGCATGTTTCTTGAACACCTCCACAGACGATGACTCAAGGACCTCCCTGGGCAGCCTGTTCCAGCACCTGACCACTTTTTCAAGAAGTTTTTCCTAATACCCAACCTGCACCTCTTCTGGCTCAACCCAAGGCCATCCCCTCTCCTCTCACCAGTTATATGGGAGAAGAGGCTAACCCCCACCTCACCACAACTTCCCTTCAGAGGAGAGGTCTCCCTCAAGACTAAACAATTCCAGCTCCCTCAGCTATTCCCCATAAGGCTTATGCTCCAGACCCCCCACAGCTCTGTTGCTCTTCTCTGAACATGCTCCGGGGCCTCCATGTCTTTCTTGTAATGAAGGATCCCAAACTGAACACAGTACTCGAGCTGTGGCCTCACTGCAGCTGAATGAATTTAGGGGGAGGATCACCTCCCGTGCCTGCTGGGTGTATTATTTCTGAAACAAGACAAGATACCACTGGCTTTCTTGGCCACCTGGGCACACCGCTAGCTCACATTGAGTCAAGTACTGACTAACACCCCTCGGTCCTTTTCCTCTGCACAGTCTTCTAGTCACTTTGCTCCAAGCCTGTAGTGTTGCAAAACCTCTTTGATGCAGGAGGCATTTACTTTTAGGTCAAGAACTACCCCATCTTCATCTGAAAGGAGCCTGAACAACTCATAAGAACCGCAAATCGACTATATGTCTTGGTACTGTAAAAACTTAAATTTTCCTCTCTGGGTACCCTAGTTAACTATCTCACAAGTATCAAGACTGAAAAGAAAAAACAAACAAAGAAACTTCTATACAGTCTTCTGTGAGTGACAGCTTACTTTACAAAAATTTTTAAAGTACCGTCCACAGAAATGCAATGCATTCTAAAATAGCATTAGTCCACTAACAGAGGTTTCTGAAAAGGAAATCCACTTCCGTCACATCTCCCTTTCCACTCCTAGTTATGCTTCATGATTCAAAAGTCATTGAGATCCTGCCCATACTTGAAGCCTATTAATTTGGGGAGCAACATTTAGGCTTTTCTATTTACTATCTATCAGTGCCATCTCACACTATAAGTAACATTATTATTTTTAACTTCAAATAATACTGATGATAAATAAATACTAATAATAAAGCTTGACAACCGAAAAGCAATTGAAATAGTTATAACCATGCATCAAAACTTCCAAAAATGCCAATAGTCTTACCACCTCACTGTAGTCTGGAACTTACAAAGTTTAGTACTGAAGAGTTTTTGGACTAAGCTGAGTATGTGCCTTGCTTCAGTCTTCTGATTCACCTGAAATATAATACTGAAGTTAAAGAAAAACATTGTTGTCTCTAATTTAAATTCCTTATCCTTATGCAATAAGCATGTTTTACTTTTCAAATTAAGAAAAAATGAACAGCACAGAAAACATCCATCAATTCACACAGTAAGACACAAACACATATACCAACACATTCATCATCACTTTTAGTGCAGTAAAATTCAAATAAAACATACCCAATTCATACCCAATATGCCAAGTAGCTATTACCAGATTACACCCAGATAAAGAACATGAAGGGGAACCAACTCTACCCATATAAAAATGTAATTTGTTTCCTTCCTTTTCATTTATGCTCTAGTTCCTTCAACACAATACTCTATTTAGGTGGTTTTTTTGTTGTTGTTCAATCAATTCTCTCAATTAAAATTTTACTTTTACAAAACTTCTTGATTTTTTGCATATCAAGATCCTTCTTTCGCCTGTTCACTGAAATATGTGACTAAGAATCTAAATAATAAATGACAAAGTTGCACTTCTTAAAAGTAGTTCCTGCATCCAAAATGAATTAAGTGTTCTTTAGACAACCTTCTAAATAATCTTAGGCAACCTACTTCTGTTTTGCTCTCTCCATTTGTGAAATGAAGACAAAGCTCATTTTTAGAACACTCTGCTGGGTTAAAGAGTTTAGAAGGTTAACTTAGTATGTGCAATGTTACGAGACCCATGAATCATAGCTATAATCAGTGTAAAAAGATGTTATCAAATCAAAAGAGTATTGTACTTTTCTTTCATTTTAGAAGCCAGCCTTATAAAAGCACATACGTTTTTAAATGTTATTGAATAAAAAGTGTTTAAGTTATTAGAGAGTACACCTGAACAGACTTTAAAACTATACATGTAAAAATACATATTTAATTACTTACTGGTTCTTCTTTAACCACCAAACATAAATCCCCATCACTTGTACGAGTGCCAAATCCATTCAGAGAGGACCCAACCAAAAAGAGCCTGCTACCTATACAAAAAGAACCACAGAATAAAACTTGATGTGACAGCCATAGCTGAGAGTAAGGAAGAATTGTGAACCTCAAAACATTCAAACAAATATTAAGTAATCAAATTCAAAACATACATGGAAAAATTCGCTGAATTTCCCTCTGGAGTTCTGATCTGCAGAGCTCTTTTCTATTCAAATCACACGTCTGTTGTTGGCATGCTTGAAACAACTCCAAAACCTGCTGACTTAACTTGACACACATTCAAAAAGTAAAAGATAAATGAAGTGAACATTCTTTCTTCTTGCAATTATAAGAAAAACAGAAAACTGCGTTTAAAAAAAAAATACAAATCCATATTATTTCACATGATCTGTTCCATCACTTTAGTTTACTTAAATTCATTTTGAACACCTGCCCTGAAGAAATCACTGTTATTTTTATTTACGTATTTTAATTGTTCAACCATTATCTTCAGCCTGTCAGGGAAAAGCAGTAAAAGACCAAGAATATCTTCTGCTGACTTAAATATCAACTGTTTGCCTACAAGTAACTAGGACAAAATGAAGTATTAAAACTGACTTATGTTGGCATCATTATTTTGTGCAATGCGAATGATTAAAGAAGTAATCAGATCTCCAGTGAAAACAGATACTAACTGATATTCTTCATCCATCACCATTACATGCTATAATAAGACGACATAAATATTAAAATAAATTTTTTGTCATGTTGGTGCAGACAAAATATTAACACTGACAAAACACAAGCTTTTTTTTTTTTTTTTTTTAATTAAAAAAAGAAGAAATGAGCTTCTCTGATGTCACTAAATGATTTCATCAGAATTCTCCCCAGTCCCATATCCTGTGACTAATGGACTCTTCTTCCTTCTTTCTTTCTCTTCCTTCATTCCAACTTCTGCTGTTTCTAAAACTGACATGCAGATTTCCTCAATCAATGTTAAAAGCAAACGGCTTAAGCAAACAACATGTGGATTATTGAAAAATGTTTCAAATGCCTAGGATCTCAGTGGCAGCTACAGTCTTTGATACTCCTTCCAAGGACAGCTCAGCATTTGAGACACTGTGACAATGTTAAAGAGTCCTGAAGTTTTTTTGGCCTACCTCAGCAACCCTGTATCCTGCATACATAGAAGGTAAAGGTCAAACATGGTCACAGAAAGACAATACCTTATCTTTGGCCACAGGAAGTGTTCCCTCTTTAACATCCAGAAATGAAATATCTTGCAATCGAGGAACACGTATACTTAAATCTGGTACATAACACACATTGAACAGTGGAGATGATCCTGAAAACAAACATGCACTTTCTTCTGGTGAAGGCACGGCTTGGTTAACTACAGGTGTTTCACGGCGAGGTGAACGATATCGCTGCCGTTTGACATCATATGGAACACTTTGTTCACTTAGTCTTCTAAAGATAAAAAAGGAAAAGAAAAAACGTATTTTGCAAGCTTTTTTGCAAGCTTCAACCTATGACTAAAGAGTAGTAGTTACTGCAAAGAACAAACACTAATGATTAACTACGTGACTCTTTCACTACAGTGAAGTCTTTTACAGAGCAGACAGTATGTCCATCTTAAATATCAGGGGAAATTAACCTGAAATGAGAAGACAGAACACAAAACTGCAGAAGTGCAGCTTCCATTTAAGTGAATTCACATTACCGCTTACCAAAACTACTTATACTAACCAGTTGAAACGAAATGTCAAGCTTAGTTAGGCAGGACAGCTAGGAAAGATGAATGTTGGTCATGCTATTTTTGTGATCATCTACTTTTTATTTTTTGTAAAATACATTTAAAAGAAATTTGCACTCAATCTGTTTAAAAGAAGTGCAATGAGGAAATTTTGTGTATCCTGAATACTCAGAGATTAATAAAATCAGTACTGGGAAGGGAAGAAAAAAAAACTCAACCAAACAACCAACTCAAATGTAGCATTTGTCATTGCAGGCTTAGATTACAGACAGTAAAATGTCATCCAGGCAAAAAAAAAAAAAGAGCCACTTTTTTTTTGACACATCAAACTAATGATACTGGTTAGCCATACAGATCATAAACCTAACGTTTCATTTTCACACACAAACTCATAAATTTCTCCCATAATTCACCTGTCACAGGAATTTGTCTATCTTTAAGAGACACGGTGATCTTAACAGAAAGTCCCTTTTCATCTGAATTTTTAAATAGAAATAAACTGTACTGAAAGTTGATCGAGATTTGAATATTGTGATCTACCCACAGAAAAGTAAATACAAGGACATTCAACTTTTATGCACCTAGTATTGCATATAAGCTAACTAGCACAACAGTGTTCACATACTAAGTAAAAAGCCAACATGAAATCAAGCATGCTTGTATGTGTCAATGAATTAAGAATTAATGAAACTCGAATTATTTCTTGCTGTCAGAAAAGCTGGCAGCAATGCAGTCTAGGGACCAGGATAGGTAGTATTATCAATGAAATACAAAATTCTATTGAAGGGACGTCAAATTATCATTTCAGTTTTCAAGTGTGAGAGAAGTTCTGGTAATATTCCCTACCCTCAGTTTTAAAGAAACTCACAGTGTAATGTTAAATCCAAACATGAGACTGTTTCAACAGAAATAGCTTAAGAAGAGTCAAGTCAAGATCTAAGGATTAACTACTTGACTGCAAATCTTTTAATGCAGCAGAGCTTTTCAAGAGGAAAAAAGCATGCATGCAGCATCATGAAACCAGTAGCATCTCTAGTTCACGCAATGCCTATATGCACAATTATAGTTAAACACCATGTTTTCATTTGTAATTCCTTTCTGTTAACCTGGTTGAGAAACTGCACATAAGAAATAAATATGAAGAAAGATTACAAAATTTTCTCTGTATCAGATGATTCACAGAATTGTTAAGAAGTGTGCTAATATGTATCAACTACTATTTCAGAACTCCTAAGGAAGATAAGTAATCTTTTTCTAAAATGCCAAGAGAAAACCATGCTCACATCTGAAATTCCTTTTCCTTCTGCAGCTGATGAAACAAAATTACCTATGTTTGTTTTTTGAGAAATAGGCAAATTGTTTCCATACAAATTGTTTTCTCCTAAAAAACCCACAAAACTTAAATAAGAAGTGCTAAATTCAGGCACCAAAAACCTAAACACTGTATAATTAAGAAAACCAGAATAAACATTTACTTTTCCCACGAACACAGCACAGTTTTAACTTGCAAATATACAGAAGAGAACACTTATTGACACAAATCCTCCCATAGTCAAGCATACAAAGAATATGAGCTATCAAGGTATAAAAAGAAAATGCACAAGTCACAGTTCCATAAGGCCACAACTGCTGGAAAGAAAACTACATGTACCAGGCCACTTATGAGGACTAAAATACTAAAGAGCATATAGAAGAATGTTTTGAAATTCCATGACATGGAGGAGAGGGGAAGGGAGGGGAGAAAATCATTGGTTTTGTTCAATATTCGCGAATTTTCTAACTAAATTCAACCTGCACAAAAAAATTAATATTGAACACATTTTGTCACACGCTCAGTACAAACAGAATTAAGTGGACACCCACCCACTTCCCCACCCATCTTACTTTTTTCCTCGGAAGGTTGGGGAAGGAGCAGAGGTATTCATCGGACTGCCATTTCCATAAGTCAATGGTTGCGGTGTACGAACCAGTGTAGTCGCAAGGTTCCCACCCAACGAAGCCCTGGAAAGACTACAGTCTATAACTGTTATTCACATAATGACTAAAATGCCTTTTTTTGAATTGCTTATTTTGCTCTGTATTATTAACTGATGCAATGGCATCTTGCACAGTACGCACAACACGGCAGAGCACTAAAACTTGTAAATCACTGCAAGAAATTATACAGCTCTGTTTTACGTAGGACACAGTCCGATTTTAAGTCTAATGAAGTTTAATGTTAAAAACACTAAAAAATATCCCCCCCCCCCCAGAAATACTTCTTTCAAAAGACAGTTAACCATACTCATCAATTCAATCTCCAGTAGCTAATTTTACCATACTTACATTGCATTCTGAAAGTTAACATGAGCATTAATAATCTGCTGGTGAGAGAGAACAGGTCGTATACTTAAAGGAACCTTATTGAGGAAATTATTCTGTTGTAGATGTTTAGGAGGAAAGGGTGGACGACCCAAGTTGGAGGAGTTTGGGAACATGCTCCTGTGCTCGAGGTGAACATGTATCCTTTTACCTTCAATAAAAGCAAATAAACAAATGAAAATAGGCAACAAGTAAATAACAGTTACTTCCTAAACTTCTGGGTTCAAAAATTTGCATTATTTAGAATATTTTTCTATGTATTGCTTAAGAAAATTGTGATTGCAGGCTAGCTACATCTCCTTTCAGGACAAGATGGAAAATAAAAATATTGTACTTTCCAAGTTTCACAATTACCATTTATTTATTTTTAAATTTGCATTTTTATTTGCTCCCCTCCACTTTACATTTAATTTTAGAAAAAAAATCCATGAAACAAAATTTAAGATTTATCATCTCAAGGAAAAATAATGTGTTTGAATGGAAAGTTCCATTGAATAATCCAATTATTCAAAAACTATGTTTATAATATACTCCATCATAAGACCATGAAGATGCAGCTGGTCACCAAACATAAGCAAAATTAGTTTTTTTGCGTGATATTCAAAGAAGCTGCAGAAAAATAACAGCAATTGGAAAGTAAACTACTAATACTTAAAAAATAAATACATAGCATTGCTTTATACATATGTTTATACAATGGATTCCGTAACAGTAAAGTTATTTTTTTCTTTTGAATTTAAAATTTATTCTGGCACAACTGACTGCGATTTGATCTTCTACAACTGTACGGACTACGCATTAACAGAACTACTGAAGGAAAATCTTTGTCTGTACAACATGTTCAACTGCTACTGAATTGCAAATCCTCATACTGCACTGTAGGTTCAATTTATATGATGGAAACAACAAAAACTCAGAATTTACAGGTCAAGACCAGATTATAAGATTTTAAAATACCAATTATCAATATTCTATACCTCTCTCAGCTACAGTGAAAACTTGGTATAATTTTGAGGTTTCTTCAATTATGTTTTTTTGTCTTTTTTGTCCCCTCAGAGCTCTTATAAGAACCCTGCAAACAATCAGAGTCTCTCACTAATCATGAGCAACTGTGTTGGTTAATCTTAACACTCTGCATGAAAATATCGACCTAGTTATTACAACACAGTGATTCAAAATAAGAGGGAGAAATGTGTTAAACATTTAAACATTCAAAAATCAGAAGAGTAATGGCTGTGTTTCCCTAATTACTGTATCAAAACCTTTTGTCAAACCGATGCCATAGTAATGCAATTGCAAGAAGTGTTATACAGTAGTCTAAGTTCCGAATAAAATACCACTTCTAGGTTCTCTTAATTATCAAACTAATCACATACATATGACTGTGCTAACAGTTACATTAGTAGCTATTCTGTCACACTATGAAACAAAATCAGTTATTTCTAGCTTCACTGTAGTAAGATATCACATTTGCCACAGTCTTGACCTCATCTTTCACCTACCACTGCAAAATGTCTTCGTGCTCCAGCCTCCTCAGACAGCTCTGGCAGATGGTGCAAGCAGTATTAGCACAGAACCTATGCAAAAGAATTGCAAGGAGTTTATTTGTGCACAGTTCCTGCGACAAAAGGCCACTTGTCCTTCTCTCCCTCTCCCACTGCTCCCTGTTACCTGACATTTGTATGTAGTCTTGATGACACTTAAGCACAGCCTCAAACCCATGGCAAAGTACAAACAAAACACGTATCAAACTTGCATTAAGAGTGGAAACAGACTCAGTAAGGATTACAGTGAGAAATGTGTAATTTGTTAATGAAGGGACTTAATCTTCACAGATGCAAGTCCCTTAAACGCTCCCATTTCCACAGACAGCAGCTTAACAACAGGTAGCACCCCACACCTCTCTATGATCACCTCAGGTGCTCCTAGGGCATTAAACATGCTGCACAGAAGGTGATGGGTATATCTCATCAGCAACCTAGCAAAACCTCGCGTCACAACTGAGGGTACAGCTGTTACAGCGACAAGTTTTCAATCTTTAAGACTGCAAATAGCAGAGAGGGAAACGAGAGGGTGGGGGAGGGGGAAGCGACAGAGAGAGAGGGGGGAAACCAAAAGCAGCGAAGCAGTTTCCCTCAGTCGAAGCCGGCACAACGCAGCACCTCCGCTGCCCCACAGGAGCTGCGGCTGCGCCAAGGCAGCTCTCCGGGCAGTACCTTGAGCGAGACGGCGGGGTGCTCCCGGAGCACTGCAGCTCAGGCTCAGCCCCTCAGAGGGGCACTTCCTTCAGACAAGCGCGTGCTTCTACGGGAGGTAAACAAGGGACTGCTAGCACTCCTCCCAGCGAGCGAGCCCGAAGGCCCGGCCGCGAGGCCCTTCCACCGCCCGGCCCCGGTCCGGCTCCGCCACGACACGACACGGCACGACACGCCGCTGCACGCTCCCGTCGGCCTTGGGCAGGGACCTCCGTACCGTCGCACCCACCTCGACCGCGTTTCGCAGACGGCCGAGCGCGGCACAACCGGAAACAGGCGGCCAGCCCCGCTCGCCGGGCGCGAGCCCTCACCCGGATCCACACCAGGCGGCCGGAAGAGCCAGCGCCGCCGGCCCTCCCCGCCCGGCGCATGCGCCGCCGCCAGGGACGGGCAGCCGGCAGCGGAGGTGGCGGCGGGGCGTCGCCGTCGGGCTGCGGCTGGGCCCGCGGCCGGGAGTGGCGGCGGCGGCTTCTTCGCCCGCCTGTAAAGAAGCGGAGCGAACGCCTTCGTCAGGCTGCGCGTTCTGCGTCCGCGGCTGTCACTGTAGGCCGGGCACGTCCTCCCCGTGGCCCAGAACGGCTCGCGCTGCCGCCCGCGCCCCGTGCTGCCTTGTCATCATGGCGGCCGCTGTGCCCCGGGCCGGCTGCTGACACGGCATGGCGCCCTGCTAACTTGCGGGGAAATCCGCCCGTCACCCGAGATTACGGCTTGAAAAGGCTGACGTGGTGGTGAATTCCGTGTGTTTCAAGGAATGCTTCGTGTAGTCAAAATAGCCGAACTGAGAAGTGTCGGCTCAGCAATTGAGTTGAATTTCAAGTGGATTCTGTTATAAAAGCTAGTTAGGTGATAGCAAATGCGATTACAGAAAAATCAAAACCATTTCCTGCTGAGTTTGTTAAGCAATGTATGGAAAGCGCAGACAGAAGTGTCCTGATTTCTTTAAGAAAAGATTTTTTTGAAATCAGTTCATCTCACCAGTCTACAGCCAGGTGAACTGAAGGAGCATCCTTCAGTTAGGGAAGGAACATTAAAAAAAAGATTTGGAGAGCAAAGCTGCTAATTTAAAGTTTCATGCTTTGGTGATAAATTACTGCTCCTCCAGATGCAGCTCAACTTGCATTTTTCATTCAAAGTATTGAATATAATGTCACCGAAAAAATGGCTTCTTGGGTGACATTGAATGACACAGTTAAATATCTTGATTTGTGGGAAGCAGTAAAAAAAAAGAAAAAACGTTAAAGCAATTTTCTTTAAGCTTTGTCAACATATCTGGTGTAGCTACTGGGTAGTGCCCCAGTGATGATTGGTAAAAAAGAATGAACTTAATAAAAGATGCTGCAGTTACCAGTAATAACTTAGGTTTGATGAAATACTACCGTGTCAGACATCAAGAAAATTCATGTGCAAAAGCTTTAAGAATGCATAATGTCATGCAAGTAGTCATCAGACTCTGAATGTCATAGAGTCCAAGGGACTGAATCATCACCAATTCCAGGAGATCCTTAAAAGTGTGGCTGTTGATTATGGGGTCATCATTTGCTTTTCTGAAGGAAGGTGGTTAAGTCAGTGTAAAAAGCTAAAAATTTAGACTTTATGATTTGCAAAGTGAAAACAAGCCTTTTTACGGAATCAAAAGGAAAATTTCTGCCAGAATCTGAAGATTAAAAGAAGTTCACTTTTGTGCTTGGGACTGCTCATTTAGATGAGTTAAGCATGTGTCTTCAAGGTGAAAATCACTTTGACTGTGTTAAGTTTCAGACAATAGCAGCATTTGAAACAAAAATTATGGCAAGCTTAATTTATAGCAAAGAATTTCATGCATTTCGATGCATTGGCTGAACACACTTCTGTGAACAGTGAAAAATATGCAGTTGTGCGTTACATTTTGATAAATTTGAGAGCAGGTTTCAAGATTTCAAAAAAAGTCATTTTTATTTTTTTAATATATTTGCAACTCCGTTTTCAGTTGACGTAAATACATTACTTGCAAATTTTCTTATGGTATGTATAGAGTTGCAATCAGACATTCAACTCCAAGAAAAATCTGGTCATGTCTTCTTACAAGACTTTCATAAGCTCTTTCTTACTAGAGAAAAATCTCTCTCTTCACAGTCACACCTTATTCATGTCATCGCTTTTTGGCAGTATGCACACTTGAAAAAAATTATTGTCAAGGATGATGCACAGGAAGAGTAATACTTCATCAAAAATCTCTGACAAATGCCTTTAGAACTTAACTAAAAATCTCATCCACTGCCATTGAACCAGCTTGGTGCATTCACACAGAAACAAGACCAAACATTGCACTAGTTTTATTATTTTGTTGCTTTTTAAAAATATTTTAATAAAAAACAAAGTAAAAATAAGTTTTGTTATATATTTATTATATATTTTATATGTAGCCCAAGGCAATTCCTGTTTGTTTAGTGTGGCCCAAGTAAACCAAAAGGTTGGACAGCCATGCCGTAAGCTGTGCCCTGTGCAGCATGTGGCTGTGACATTTCCGTGGCAGGATGGGGAGGAGTAGGTAGCAGCTCTGTCCCACAGATGAGCAGTGCCAAGTGAGACCTAGAGAGCAGGCAGTCAGTGCAGGTATTTTTAATTAATAGCTTAATTGCTATCAAAGTCAGAATTAAGTTCCAAAGTTAGTCAATAATATAATATTTGGGTAAAGAAATCAGGATTTGGCTCCCAGTGATGGTAGATGTTCTAAGACAACTATGAATGTAAAAGCAAGAATGAGCTGAAATACTTGCACCCTGAGGGGAGACAGAACTGAAGATAAATAACAGATACTTTTTTTTTTTTTTTTTCAGACTGTTCACTCTTTAGGATCTTTCCCCTTGTCATACCTACATCTGTTTTTCAAAATAGCTGCACTTTTCTATGAAAGACTTGAAATAGCCTAATGTTTTACAAATCAGCAACAGTCCTATGAGACAAATCTCTGTGCTTTCACATGCTGAGAGTTATTCTGCTTTTTTTTTCATTGTGTGCATTCTTCCATCCTGCCCCTGATTGTGATCTCAGAGAGTTAACAGATAGCATAGATCCCCTTGTATAAGAAAAGAGCTTCAAAGCCTTATTTTTCATTTTAGTCATTCTTGTGAAGAATCAGGTTGCTTGTCAAGAGATAATCAGAGCTGTGCAACAGGGAGTTTGAAAACTAGCACTAGAGATTTCACCTGAACTCCAGAATAGGATTAGGATTCATCATGTACTTCTTGCCTCCAAAGATAATATTGTTTTAGAATAAGTATGGTACAATTATTAGAACAGTTTGTTAAGCAAATTTATTGGAACAGCAGCAAAGAAACTGAACAATTAAATGAGTTTATGATTCTTAATAGAAGCAGATGGCTGAATTTTGCATCTAAAAACTGTAAATAGCATTTATTTATGTTGGGTACGGAAGAAAATTACTTTCAGAAGCTAATTCTGGATACAGCAGTTCTTGTTACTGCTCCAATACAGCAGTTAAAATCTCTGTTATGGAAAGGAAACAATTAAGCAACATTAAAGTTCCTGTTTGTTTTTATTTGCAGTTTTCTGAAACTTCTTTAGAGCTGAAATATTCCAAATTTAGGTACTATTTGAAAGTAAGTAGTTCTGAAAAGTTTGATCAAAGCAGTTCAAAATTCAGTAGCTCGAGTAGGAAAAAAAAGCAAAAAATAAACAAAACCAAACAGAGGAAAAAGTTATTCTTCTATGGAAACCTTAAAATTCCTAAAAAGTCTATGGCCTCTTTTCTCACTCTGTTTACACTGGGCAAGATGTATGGGAACTCAGCCAGCTGTATGTTTAGAATATGCTCTACAACAGTAAGCAGCCATATGCTCTCTTTACTGGGAAACAAGTCAACTTTCTTGAAGCATTTGTCAGTATAAAAACCAGCCGTAATGTGTCACTTTTTATGTTGCTAATGTTAGGACCAGGTCTAAAATAATGGAACTTGCATTTCATTATAAATATGCCATTTTCATATTTTGTACTGAGACCTAACATGGTAAGTAAATCAAAATAAGAAATGTAATTACAATGAAATAAACAGAGCTACAAAGAGATTAATATGATGCAGAATCCACAGTGAAGACTGCAGTTTTTTCATCATGATATCCATATGATATACTTTGCAGTTTGTTTAGCAACCAGGATATTCTGGGACTGATGCCAAACCAGAGACTTAGGTCTAAAATAAATTTTATGTATGAGGCAAAAAGCAGCTTTTCTCAGGAAAACAATACAAGATATTAATAATACTGCAAAGAACTTTTAAGTCAGGTGTACACAAATCTATTGCTATAGGTTGGCAGGTGTCCATGTAAATATCTATTGCATTAAAAACATGATCCAGAAATTTTGCAGATAAATACTGAAGGTGAAATGAATGTGTTTCTTTTTTATTGTTCTTTGTTTGTTTTTAATTAGATAGATGCATTATATCTTTCTCATTGTGTGACAGCCAGTTCCTAGTTCTGATGTTCAGTGTTGTACCAGATTTAATAATTTTTGTGTTATGCCTGTATGTACTTTCTCTTTATTTGAGAAATAAGGTGATGTATTTCTTTATTACAGTAAGATTTTATATACTTGTATACATATCACACAGTCTGCAGTGAGCTATATATTTGATAAGCAGTGAGTATACCATAGACATTGATATTGAAATATATAGTAACTATGCAAGCAAACACACACGTTGCTCCAAAAGTAATGCTTCCTATTTGTTTCCATGGAAACTCCAACAGATACAAAGAGCACAATAATGCTATTTAATGGAGGAAAATCTCAGCTGCAAAACACTGCTTTTCAGCAGAGTCACCACCATGAGGAATGCAATTTTGCCAGCAATGAACAAGAGCCATCACGCTGCGCTTGTAACAATCTGTGCCTGTGGAGGTGTCACACTGTCAGCACTGCTGAAACACACCATCCACTGCCTCACTGTGCTTACATCCACTGTTTGGTTTCCATAAATGCTCAGCAAGTGTCAGTGAATATCAATGGGTGTCATTTTTCAGATGGAGGAATTCAGTGACACACCTTTGCTCCACATGCCCTTCCATGTCAGACGCCAATTTGTCGGAATGCCCCTCTGCAGCCATCTGCCACACAACTAGAAAATATAATAGGATATTGGTAAGAAGGTTCAACTTCTACTGCCATACCATCACTGTCTGCCTCTGATGTTGTGGCCCAGAATAATAAAATCAAGGCTGTTGTGCTAAGTTGTTAATGCTGTGCACAAGTTAGTTTAATATCCATATTTGCTAACAATTGCATGACTTCAGTGATTTGGTATTGTAAATTTTGTAATTGGATTCCTTTAAATACAACTTCTTTTAAATGGGAGGTTTAAGTTTTGTATTTTCCTTAGCGTTGCTGCTTTCTCTGCTGTGCAAATAAAGACAAAATAAGTCCTGAATTTTGATTGAAAACAGTGGATGATATTATTTGATGCTTAGCTCTGCAAAGCTATGCTTTCACATTATTTGCTTTTTTTTCAATCTGTTGTAGTCCTGGGAAGTCCAAGTCCTAAACTAATCAGTAAAGCTTCGGAGGGCTTTGCTTAATAAGCCAGTTCTTCAGGATCAGATTTTTACTAAGGACACTGAATATTATGAAGGTCTGGTAGACATTTCTCTGTGGCCTAGTTGGTCTTTTTATCAGTGGGTGAGAAATGACCATTTCAAGTTAATGGGTCTGGAAACAGTGCTTAACCATTAGATTAACTTCATTGCAGATATCAGCATAGCCAAATGGAGGGACAGATAGATACCATTTTTTTTTTTCTTAATGAACTAAGCTTTTTGCAGAGACATAAAGTATGATGTCTGTGTTAGACCTGACTGTACTGCATGCCTCAGCTAGGACACTGAGGTTTGAACAAGTTGGGAGTGGCCTACTGTGGGCTAGCAAAGAAAATATTACTTGCTACCTGCTGTCTTCAGTTCCTAGCACTGCAGGGTATTGAGTAGGTTGTGAAAGCTGTTCTTTTTTTTTACAGGATCATAGAATCATTAAGATTGGAAAAGACCGTTGTGGTCACCTTGCACTCTGTTGCGTTTCATTTTTTTTACTGTCTCCATTTTTATGTCTGGTTTTGATAGCTTACTTCTTAGTGGACAATGCAGCTGAACACATTTTGTTTGGTTCAATTTTTTCCATGTTTAAAAACTAATTTTGGTCACTCAGATATATGTGATAATGGTATTTTATGGAAAAACACTCTCTAGTGCCTTTAGTGATAAAAATGTGTGCTGCTGTGTCTGTAGCTGACATGGTGTTTTGGATTTAGCCTGAGAACAATGTTGATAACACACCGATGTTTCAGTTGTTGCAGAGCAGGGCTGCGCAGAGCCAAGGACATTTCAGCTTCTGGTGCAGTCCTGCCAGTGAGAGGCTGGGGGGCCACAAGGAGCTGGGAGGGAACAGAACCAGGACAGCTGACCTAAACTGATGTTCTGTACCATCTGGCACCTTTTGGAACTATAAAACCAGAGAGAATAGGTCTGGAGGAGATCACAGAATCACAGAATCACAGAATCACAGAATCACAGAATCACTAAGGTTGGAAAAGACCTATAAGATCATCCAGTCCAACCATCCACCTATCACATCCAGAACTGCAGTGTTGGGACTTTCTGGGCATCAGTCGTCTGGTGGTAAGCAATCATATAGCACATTACTTGCTTTGTGTTTTAATTTTTTTCTCTCTTTTTTTTTCTCTCTTTTTAAACTATTCTTATCATAACCTACAAGTTCTTGTACTTTCATCTTCTTCGATTCTCTCCTCAATTCCACTGTGAAGGGAGGGAGTGAACAGCTGTGTGTTGCTCAGTTGCATGCCAGGTTAAACCACTAAACACTACTATTTTGGTTATTATAGGCCTTTGTACACAAAAGCTGTTGTGAAGTTTGCCAAATTTTAAGCACACTTGGCAGAATACACTGCATTTTTATGCACTGTAAAAACTTTGAAATAAAATGTTCTATAGTTTCAGATTTTTTACTCAAGAAATCTGAATATTCCTGTTGTTCAGTATAAAAAGTATCATAAACTTTATAGTACGTATGTATGTGTTTTCTTCGAGGCTTTCCTCTGAAGCCTTAACATAGAAGTAACTGAGAATGTGTTTTTTACTTAGCGTTTAAGTAGAGCAGCATCTGAAGAGTTGGACCTTTGACTTTGCAAACCCAAGCCTCTCTTTCAGATTACTAACATTTATATTACTGTTAAGCTATAGAAGTGTAAGCAGTGAGAAATAGGCAGATATCTGTGTGTATGGAATGCCCATGCATGCTCTTGCCAGAATCAGTTAACAAAAGACCAATCAAAAGTTAGAGGTTCAAAACAAGCAATTCTGTGTACTGCAACAGTAGTCTGAAGTGTTTCTTTTACTCAAAACTATCATGGTATAAGTTCTTTAATGAGCTATAATTCAAATAATCAAATGTTTCTCATTTTACGTTTGCAGACATTCCTTCCCATCATCAGTTTTAATCAGTTTTAATCTAATTATTTAGGACAGATAGTTTTTCAGCCAGGGTTGAGGAGGAAACAAAGTAGGGCTCCAAAGAGAAGTTGCTAGCTTACCTGTAGAGAGGCTACCACATACTCATTACACCAGCCTGAAGCTTAGTCATTGTTGTGAGATATGTATTAGTAGTTTCTTCTGAATAATTTATGTTTCTGTGCAAACTGGGTTAGTATTAGGAGTCCTAGAAATGTCAGGTTTCAAAATAATCCTTCTTGGTAAAAATATTCAGTGCAAAATACTATATTAAAGCAACATTGAAGCTGAGTTTTTAAAATACAAAAGACAGGAAATGCAAAGTAAAGGTTGCCATAGAAACCCTAACTGTACACCTTTAAGTAGGTAGTATGCTATTGGTTTTAATAACTTTCTCTTTGTACAACTCTATTATATGTGCCCTTTTTTATTATATGAATTCTAATGATATCAAATGCTATTTATAATATGTATTAATTGCATTGACTACTCAGCAGACATTAGAAATCAGGTGTGACCTGTGCTGACTCCATGGAAATAAATTGCATGTTGATATTAAGGTGACTGTATGATGTGTATCCAGAAAACATTACTATGGCTATTTTACCAGCTGAGGAATTGAGTGGTTTTTTTTTTCTTTTTTTTTTTTTTTTCTGAGAATAGTACAGTATGGCTATCAACTTATGGAGCATCATTAGAAGATCAAAATCGTAGAAAACACAGGCAGTTTACAGGAGGTAGAATGTAAGTGGTACTTTAACTATGACCATGGTATGCTTCTTCAGCAAAGCATAAAAGTACAGCATTCATTCTTTACAAATGTGCATTATTTCCTCCAGTACTCCATCTTGTACTTCACAAAAACATAGGTATTGCTCTTTCTACTCTGTTTTCTTTCTGACAGGTCAGTTTTATACAAAACTGTATAAATCCTCTACAATTTTTTGGTTAGGCTGTAGAACTGAGATTTCCCCTCCCAATTCCAAATTCCATTATCTGCCTGCCAAAGGGGCAATTTTTTGTGAAGTTTTGTCTTCTTTTAGTTAGTCATTTCCTCAGTTAATATGCAAGAAATGCAAAGGTGTTGAACATGAGGAACCTCAAGTCAGGAGACCTGGCAGCAAGTAGTTTAACTTCTTTAGTATGTTATCTTGAAAAGTGTACATTACTCAGATGACGTCCTCAGATGATTCCAATTCATGTGGTATCTTGAACAATCTATTTCAGGAGGGGGACACTTTTGCAATTGAAATTTCCAGTGCATTTATTAAAGTTGGAAGATTGTCATCAAAATAGTATTAAAAAAAAAAAAAAAAAAAAGATAAAATGCAGTTCATTAATTTTTATTTCTTAGCCTGCTGGTAGCACTTTTGGCAGCACTGTTTGGTTAATAGTAAATACATTTCTAGGATGTATGAATACTGCAAGTGGCCATGATGTCCAGCTAAAGTAAAATCCTTGTACCTACAACTGCCATTGAGGACTGTCCCCTAAAAAGTCATAAATCGGGTTTTACATGTATTGATAAACTAATACAATTTTGGGGAGTGAAATATTAGTTGTTATTGAACATTTAAAGAACAATTACAGCCATTGCTAAAACCTGTTATAAGGAAAAAAGAATTCAAAATTAGATCTTAGTAAGGCAGACAAGAACTTCAAATGAAAACTCTGAGATCTTAAAACTCACACACATTAAGTGACTCCAGGACTCCATTAAGTACCGCTGCTGTATGTCAGTACAAACTTCCTGCAAAATCATAGCCTGCAAATAATCACTAATATGTTAGTCATTGATTTTATGAAATATTAGAATGTACTACTGGAAATTAAAAGGAAAATTTAAAATATTTTATTTGTTTCAGCTTCTCTATCCTCCAGGAAAATTTGATACTCCCTTAACAAAAATAATGCAAATGATAGGGAACTGCAGGGTGAAAGGACCACTGTAGGTTGGCAAGCTTCCTTTGTAGCTTCTCCTTTTGCCATTTTGGAGACTGAATTGGGAGTAGATTGACTGCTAATTGGTCTAAGTAGTATCTTTTCTTCTATTAATCTGAACTAGCTAGTGGCTCTTTTAACAAAGATGATTATGCTAGGACTTCTACTGGTACAATCTGATGATTTCATTCATTTCAATTTTATTGATTTCTTTTTCAGTGCAAGCTTTGTGTCTACAGCCTAGATAAGCTGGATGGCTCACAGGGATACAGCTGCAAGGACACCTGCTGGGGTGCCCATCCCTCCTCTCTCCCGCTGCTTTATGAGCTTTCCTTTGCTTTTCTCTTCTCAACGCAAGAAAAGTTACTTAGAATGTTTCTCTTGGCAGGGCATGGCGTCAAACGCTCAGGAGGATCTGAAGCAGAGTGGCTCTGAGGAAATGGGCAATGCAAGCCAACTACAGCAGGCAGAGGCATGTCAGGCATCACACAGCCGATGTCCCATCTGCCTGGATGCCATCTGCGATGCTGCCCACGTGCCCACCTGCTTTCACTGCTTCTGTTTTAGCTGTATCTGGCAGTGGGCTGCCATCAATGCTGTGTGCCCAATTTGTAGGCAACCTTTTGACCGCATCTTGTGTGCGATGCAAGCAGACGGTGACTATCAGAGGCATGCAGCCAGGGAGAGGATGTGGAACAGATCCCCGCAGCAGCACTCCAACCTGCGCCTGCATCACAGCAATGATCAGTCCATAGCAGAGAGAACAGAGCCTGCAGGGCACGCTGGCATCTCTGCACCCAGCACCTTCAGAGAGCAAGCCCTGCCGAATGCAGTGGAGCGCCCAGCAAGCCCCGTGGATGAGCATCCCAGAAACTTCAGCATGCTGCTGCTGCGTGCTCGGCTCCTGCATTTCCTTGAGTTGGAATAAACAGCCGTAAGCACTTCAAAGAACAACCGTCTGCAGGAAATGTTTTCTAGTTCTATCTCAGCAATGTGCTTCTTGGAGTGTGTTATGATTTTGTTTCCCAGAATTGCTGCAGCAGAGCATGTTTTGTTCTTCAGCTCCTGCCTCCCTCGCTCTTCTAAGTGCTGGGAGAGGGCAGTCTGAGCCTTGTGATTATCAGCCAGGAAACGTGTCCTGAAGACCTGCTAATGCAGATGCTGTAAAGAGTAGCCATGCTAGCAGCCCTGTCCCTGGATCCCTAGAGCTTTCTCAGAGCAGGCTGGAGGAAGCCCAAAGCTTCCTAGCATACAGCTAAACAAATGCATAATGCAACGGGTGAACAACTGGCTGGTGGATCAAGCTCAAAGGATGTTAATCAGGCTGGCAACTGGTCACTAGAGGGGTTCCCCACTGCTTCATTTTAGGGGCAGTTCTCTGATGTTTTCACAAATGACCTCCATACATGAATTGAAAATATACTGGATAACTTTGCAGGTGGCACTGAACTGGAAGGAGCTGTTGACTCTTCATGGGTAGAGAAGTCTTGCAGAATTCTTGACAGATTGAAGGGCTAGGAAATCACCAGCCTAATTAATTTCAACTGGAGCAAGTGCTGGATTCTGCAGCTGGGCAGCCCTGGTTGTACATACAGACTGGGAAACAAGAGACTGCAGAGCAGCCTTGCAGAGAATAATCTGGGGGTTCTGGCTGTCCACAATAGAACATGAGCCAGCAGTGTGCCCAGTAGCCAAAAGGGTCAGCCATACCCTGGAGTGCACCAGGACCAGCACTGCCAGTGGGTGAGGGAAGGGATTATCATGATCTGCTGTGTGCTATGCGGCCTCACCTTGAGGACTGTGCAATTTTGGGTGCACATTGTGATTTAACATTGGCAGGTGGACGCTGATCATTCACTCTACTCAGGTAGGATGGGGGCAGAAGAGAAAAAGTGGGGAACCCCTCTAGTGACCAGTTGCCAGCCTGATTAACATCCTTTGAGCTTGATCCACCAGCCAGTTGTTCACCCGTTGCATTATGCATTTGTTTAGCTGTATGCTAGGAAGCTTTGGGCTTCCTCCAGCCTGCTCTGAGAAAGCTCTAGGGATCCAGGGACAGGGCTGCTAGCATGGCTACTCTTTACAGCATCTGCAAGAAATCATGAGTTGAGATAAAAGCAGATTATTAGGTAAAGCAAAAACTGTGCATGAAAGCACAAGTAAACAAGGAATTAATTTGCTACTTCCTATCAGGCTGATGTTCAGGCAGTTCCAGGAAAGCATGGCTCATTATGTGTAACAATTTCTTGGGAAGAAAAATGCCATCATTCGAAATGTTCCCCTTTCTCTTTTTGTCCAGCTCTTAATGGTGAGCAGGATGCTATGCGGCATAGAATATACCTTTGGCCAGTTTAGGTCAGATGTCCTGGCTGTGTGCTCTCCCAATTCTTTGTGTACATCCAGCTTTTTGCTGATAGGGTGGCACAAGAAACTGAATAGTCCTTGACTAAGTGTAAGCACTGTTCTGCAACAGCTGAAAACACTGGTCTGTTATCAGCACTATTTTCATAAAAAAAATAGAAGAAATCACAGCAACGTATCAGCTACTGTGAAGAAAATTAACTTTATCCCAGCCAAAACCATGACAGTGCTGCAATATAAGAAGGAAATAAAATATTAGAGAGCCTCCAAAAGAGAGCTATGAAGATAGTTAAAGGTCTCAAGGGCAAGATGTATGAGGAGAGGCTGAGGCTCCTGGGTGTGCTGAGCACAGAGCAGAGGAGCTGAGGGGAGGCCTGATGGGGGCTGCAGCTCCTGACAGGGAGCGGAGGGCAGCGCTGAGCTCTGCTCTGTGTGACAGCGACAGGGCCCGAGGGAACGGCATGGAGCTGTGCCAGGGGAGGGCAGCTGGGGGCTGGGGACAGGGTCTGAACCTGAGAGGGAGAGTAGTCAGGCACTGGAACAGGCTGCCCAGTGCCTGCCATGACCTCAAACTGATGGAGTTCAAGAAACATTTGGACAGTGATCTCAGACATGGAGCTTGAATTTTGGGTGGTCCTGTCTGGAGTCAGAAATTGAATTCACAGATGCCTGTGGGTCCTTGGTCTGTGATCCCTGGTCTGACCTCCTTGTTGGTGATTCTTGGAACAGAAGACTGTCCTGGATATCTCTCAGTGCCCTTTCCAAGCCAGAATTTCCTGGAATTGTCAGTCTTCTTGCCCACACTGCTTCCTTCATCATGCAGCTTGACTCATCCTGTTCTCTCACCTTTGGATCTTCATTAAGACATCCCAGCACGACTATCTGAACAACATTCCCTCATAATATCTGTAGATCCCCAAATGCTTTTGCCATGTATCTCACAAGGACTACTGCAGTCCTTCTGGCAGTGCTCTCTGACTGAGCACTGCCAGAGGTTGCCCTGAGGTGTTGGAGTCTCCATCATCATCTCCAACTGTCTGTATATGGACCTGGACAACCTGCTGTAAATGGTCCTGCTTGAGCAGGATGGTAGGACTGGATCATGTCCATGGGACCCCAGTCATTCAGTGATTTTCTTAAATGGTTGGTGAGATTCAACTTTTCTACAGTAACAAAGTCCCCCATTCTGAAACCATCTATTTATGCCAGAGAAGAGAAGGCTAAGGGGTGAATCTCATTACTGAATATAAATAGCTTATGGGAGGGAATAAAAAAGCCAAAGACAGACTCTTCTCAGTGATAATCAGTGGACAGAGAAGAGGCAATGAACAGAAATATCAGAAATTTGATAAACCATTCCTTCCTATGGCATAAAGTCCTATCTGTTATTGACAGGGAAAACCTGTCATTTCTATATATTTGCAGTAACAACTGAGGCAGTAACATATTGATTGCTTACCCTAAAAAATAACACAAAGTGCAATGCAGTACACAGGTAAACACATAGTTTGTTATCATATATACTGAAAAGTCCATGCATCTAACTATTTGCAGTCTGAGGGCATTAAATGTCCAAAAGCTTAAATAAGTGTGTTGAATTCTGTAATTTTCATCACTTGATTTTTTTTTTTTTTTAAGATCCACAGTACTAAAAACAGTATTACACCAGTTCCTCTTGGAAGAGGAACTTGGATTGTTTTATACTCATAAATAATTTCATACTCCTAAAAATCTAGTGTAACTACTGAAGCTAGTAACTGCTGTAGCTGGAATGCTTTATTTTCCCTATTATATAGATGTAAATACTTCAAGATTTTGATTTCAAGACACCATTCTTGTACAGAAGACAAGCAAATAAATAAAGGTGTCATGGCTTTATGATTTTTGTTATCAGTATTCCACATCATAAGATCATGTAGTGCACTGGGAGTTAAAGAGTTAATGCTCCAGTTCTGTGGATTGTCAGTAGTTTTGGGTATGCCTGTTTCAGAAAAAAAGAACTACATATCCCAGAGAAATTTTCATTTCTGTTTTCCGTTCAGAGGGGAAGATAAAACTGCTTGCAGATCACCAGATGTCCCCTCTGCTCATCTCTGCAGCATGTGCTCCCTAGCTGTCTCACCTTCAGCATTAGAATAAGGCCTTCAGTTTTCTCTCATGTTATTTGATTTATTATCTTCAATTCCAATTATATTGTATTGTATTGTGTTATCTTGCATTCCAATATCATATATAGTAAACTAATTTTCCTCCTCAAATCATTGCTGCTGTTCTGTTTTTAGACCCATCTCCCTACACTTTTCCCTTTTCCCTCTTCTCCCTTTCCTGGGACATGGGTCCATGGGTCCCTCTGCCCCATTACTCATGGAACTGGGCCAAACTGGGCTGTAAACCATTGACAAAAGGATAAATTAAAAAATTAGGATTAGCCTACTAGGTATTGAGGTGCAAGCAAGTTATGAGGACACATCTAAGAAACATCTCAAATGCCAAAAGTGATAACAGAATATGATTAACTTTATTTTTAAACAATTAAGGAGGCACGCATCAAGACTCTGAGTGTTATAGTTTGTGGATGATTCACTTCTTTTGAATATAGAAAAAACATGTAACATATTTCCTCCTCATACCATGGAGTTTTTTGATTATGGAAGAAATCTTCTGAATGTGTCCGGATAAAACCATTAAAATGTAAGAGAGAAAAACAGTTTTTTAGGATGCCCATTAGAAAATGCATGGTTCATTAGAAAAAAAGTGCAATAGAATTCACACATCTTTGACACCAAGTTCATCAACATGATCACAAAATCGTAGAATCACCAAGGTTGGAAAAGATCTCTAAGATCCACCTATCAGCAATAGTCCCCACTAAACCAGGTCCCTCAGTATAACACTGAGTATAACCACAGTATAACCACTTCTGGAAAACCATCAGGTTGATGACCCCACCACCTCCCTGGGCAGCTCATTCCAGCATCTAACCATTCTTCTGGAGAAGTATTTCCTAACGTCCAAACTGAATCTCCCTGGTGCAATTTGAGGCCATTCCCTCTAGTCCTATCACTAGTTAAACAGGAGAAGAGGCTGACTTCTGCCTCATCACAACCTCCCTTCAGGCAGTTGCAGAGAGCAAACAACTGAGATGCAGCAGCTTGCTGGAGGAGGCTATGAGTTTGTCCATGTATTGTCACACTGATCATCTGCTGACTGCAGCAACTTAGCCTTCTGCCCACTTGTCTTCCAAAACACTAAATTTTCTAGCCATCATGATCATTTTTCATGTAGACAGTGAGAGTGCTGCTGGAACAGCCTCTGTGAGAAGAGGCTGGGCTGCCCCAGGCTGAGCCCAGATGGCTCCAGTATCTCCACTGCAGGGCACAGTGCAGCTGAGCCAGCCAGGGTAGCCAGCAGTGCTGCTGTCAAAGCAAGCTGAAGAATGAGTGAAGAACCACAGTGTGAGGAAAACATGACAGAAGCAGTCCTGCAGACCTCAGTGTCAGTGCAGGAGGTGCTCTAGGAGTGAAGCAGGAGTTCCCTGCAGCCCAGGAGAGGCTCATGGAGAAACAGTCTGTTCCCCTGCAGCCCATGGGCATCATGAGGAGCAGATCTCCACGTGCAGCTGTGGAGGAGCCCATGGTGCAGAAATGGATGAGGCCTGAAGGAGGCTGCAGCCATGGAGAGCCCCCGCAGGAGCAACCCAACAGGAGTTGATGCCCATGGGAGGGCAACATCACAATCAAAGGGTTTACCCCACCCTGCAAGTATATGCATAAAACTATTCCAGAAGTGGAGCCATCTGATGGTGAACAAAGTCAAAAACGATCTTCCTTGCAGAGTTTAAAATCAGCCAGTAAATGTAG